GTACTCAATTTGCAACAAACAGAGATAGACCTCGTTCTACCACTACTTCCATTGAAAATTGAAATCCGGAATCGAGGAAAACCTTTGAGCTTGGCGTGAGAAGAGAAAACGGAGATTCGCCGCCGGTGATTGTGGTGACGGATAAGCTTCCCAGAAGGAAGAACGATTGACGGAGAAACTGATGATAGAGAATCCATTGAGAGAAACAGAGAATTGTCTAGTGTGTAAGAGGAAAAAATGGAAATGGGGAAGGTAGTTGGAAGAGAAGAGAAGAAAAATAGGAGTTTGTTATGTGTAGGCAGCTGGAGAGTTTTTGTGAATCTTCTTTGGAGTTTTCTGTTTTCCAGATTTTTGTGATTCAACATTTTGGATTTTTTGTTAAAATACTTTGTTCCACGAGTGAGCGAGGATAGTGTGTATGCAGCTTTATCTACGTTTTGTAAAGAAAGAGATGTTGTCGTAGTCGATTGACTCAAGTAACATATATCGAAAAGATAAAAAATGAAAGTTAGAAAAACAAATTGAAACGAAGGAAGTAATAATTTAAATCTCAAAAGTATACACATATAATTCAACCAAATATTTTTAGTCTAGACGTAACGCAATAAGTTTTGTTGACCTATCCTCATATCCTATTCCCTCACGTAACACACTTTGGCCTTTTGGTGACACCTTTATGGACCTGTTTGTTCAAAGTTCGGACTAGAAGATCAGAAATTGTTACAAAGACTCTTGTCCAAAGTTGTTTTCAAAACTCAAGCCAACGAGCTTGCATCATCTAGGCTACCTACGTAATATGCTTGAGGTGCGATCCTTTTCCAAATCATGCATGATTACAACATAGGCTGCTTCTGAGGTGCAACCTTTAGTTAAGCCTTTTCCAGATCCTGCATGATTGCAATAAAGGCTGCTTCAGAGGTGCAACCTTTCATCAGACCAGCCGATTGTAGATGCTTTGTGCATCAGGCTTCTTTTAAATGCATGGTACATTATCAAACGCAATATGACACTGACAATCAACTAAGAGAGGCAGCAGGCAACTCTTCAAAATATCAGGTAGAAAGGGATAAGAGAGTGGGAGCATTATTGTGACAATCAAGTGCTTATTTTTCCCTTAAAGTATCAGATGGTTTCATTTAGGATATACACTAGAATGCAGCTGAAAGTGGGAACCTGTATAGCTTACAAGCTAGATGCATGATAACAAATCAGATTTACATCCAAACTCCCAATGAATTACATGGGTACTCAATGGTGGAAAAGCTTGAAATACAGAATAATAATGATTGCCAGGATAAGGGCTCCAATCACAGAGCCCATTATCCACTTGTTTCGGCTAATTCTTCTAGACATCGAAGTCAAGATCTTCTTGCTCTTGTCAATGGCATCATCCACACCATGAAGCTGTAAAAAAGATAAAAGACAATTAATAAACATAGCCGCTCAGGGAGCCACACTAACCAGAACAGTTGAAATTACTCAAATAGAGGTCAGGGAGGAAATTCAAGGGCTACTAGAAACCAGAAAGAAAATCTCAGATGGACTCATACCTTGTTATGTGAATGTAGCAGTGTTTCACGCTGTTGGTGCAAATCCCCTAGAATTAACACACTAAGCTCTTCAGTCTCTAGGGCAATCCTTCGGCTCTCCCTGATTCTGTCACTTGACTGATCGAGCCTCTCTGTTGACATTGCTAAGCGTTCCCTTTGATTTGCAGAAGCCTATAAAATCATATTATGGCTCTTTACAGGTAAAGCCGGGAAATGTAAAGATGAATTCCACTACACACATATTTGGATTAAGATAATATGTTATGCCTACAGTCAATTTTTTGAAAAGCCAACCAAACATTAGACGACTTGTCCTTTAGCCGTGCTGAACATCAATGCTTTCAACTATCTCGTGTAAGAAAGAGAGAGAAGGAACTGAAGTGGTCAGCAGGTAATATATGCTGAACCTTTTCTTTGCTTGGCATCGTGGCGTTTCATCAATTTATGTCAGGGCTTGACCAACAAAGGCCACTAACAGTATGAGAAAAACCAATGGACAGATCACAAATGGCAATGTAAGTGAACCTAATCAGTTCCTCTTAGATAAGTAGCAGATTAATATGTCATGAAAATTCTGATCTTCGATTGATTTGACAAACTTTGATATCACCAACCAAGCATGAACATTATATGTAAGACCACAATAAGCTTCTCCCAAAGAAATTTGCATACAATGGATGGTAACATATCATTCAAGTGAAATTTATATAACCTTGAGACCACACAACTTTACTATGGCAAATGCTAATACATCCCCAAAGTCATTATATGAAAACATGTATGACATAGTGGAATCCTCAAACGAAAATATAAGGAGAAGGAGAAAAAACGGAGGAGAAGGAAAATTTTAGTATACATACTGCATGTGGATCCATCATTCCAGACTCTAAATCATGGGCAGCTTGATTAGCACTAGTCAAGGTTAGTTTATTCACTTCTTTCTTCAACTTATTCAGGTCTGATTTGTATTCCCTCAGTTTAGCAAGTAATGTTGCTTTTAAACTCGGTTGCAAACTTCTTGCCTCAAGATCCATTTTCCGTATCTAAGCATAGACCATCACTTATCATCAGTTCTAAAAAAAGAAATCTTTTCGGAAAGGAATAAATTTAAAAGTCAATAACTTACCAACACATCTGCATCATCCAATCCCACTTTGAGTTCGGAAATCTGTTGCTTTTTCGGCTCTGCTCATTACAGTTGCAAAGTTATAGTCATAATCCATCAGAAGCGTAACAGAAGATATTTAACAACTTACCAAAGCCTTAACACAGAAAAGGAAAATCAGATGCCAGTTTTGTTGTTTGTTCAAGTAGTATAACCTAAATAAATTAGCAAAAATACATACTAACATAGAAATCAGAATTGAACAGTCTTTCATTCTTATTTTTACTTGTTCCTTCAATTCTCTCCTTTCCTAAATGTTTTAATTATCATTAGTATGATCTGACTTCACAACTTGCCATGCTTACACCTCTTCCCTATTGGAATACCAACCCAATCTTGAAAGTTGAAGTGACTTCAGGGAATTTAGGAAGAAAATCTTTTTTACAGCAAAAAACTAATACGTAGCAACACCAGAAAAAAGAATGCTTTAATGGACAGGTACACTAAAAAGGGTGATTTGTTTGCGTGCTTGATGTGTATAGAGACAACTCAATAAACAAAAACTACATCTCCATCCCACACTAGTTGAGGTCAGCTATATGTATCATCATTATATATTCCACTCTGTACAAATCCATTTTATTTCAGTAATGGAAAATAATTTGTCAGTTAAGGCATATAAGGGTTCTCCAACCAAGGACACTTAAAATCTCACACTTGTATGCACACTAATATAAAAGGCTCTAACCAGAGTTAGTGGAGAACATCAGAAGCAACAAGTTCACATCGATAAAAACTCGGAATTTACATAAAGCCAATTAATCAATCAAAGAACTACTTCTACTTCTTAATCCCAGACTAGTTGGAGTCGGATATATGAATCATCTATAACTATTCCAGGCTATATGGGCTTATTTCAATTCCAATACGGGAAAATAATTTGTCTTTTAAAGCAAATTAGGAGTTCTGCCAAACTGTTAATGCTTCTCTAAATCTCACACTTATCCCTGCATTGACATGCAATTCTTTCACCAGTCTTAAAAGAATGATGCAAGAGTACAAGAACTAAAAGCCCTAATCCTAACTAATTGGGCATGTCTATTAGCTTAGTTTGCATATATACCCAAATTCCATATATTATTTTTATAATAGTGGTGTCTGGGACATCTTGCACAGGTACCTGCTACTTCCCACTAGCACAAGTACCTAGCAATTCTCAACCCGATCACAGACCACTAGGACACACTCTTGGGTGTAAATCCTATAATTCACATTTCCGCATTGATCCACAAAAGCTATATAAAGTTTCAAAAAAATATATTAAAGATCAAGTGAATCAGTTACCTCCGTCAGCCAATAGAGCAGCAGAATTACATTTCCGAGACAAATTGACAGAAAGTTCACAGTACTGCCTCTCATATCCCTCAAATACTTCACTCATCTTCCCTCAAATCTCCGCCCAAAAAAAATTCAACCTGTAAATACAAATCAAATCAAACGATTGAATCAAGTTCACCTAAGTTTTTGAGAAACCAAAACGAAATGAAAAAAAAAAAAATCGATCCACCAAACACAATCAAGTAGATACACGTATAAGTAGGATAAATATACCAGTAATGAAATCGTACAGCGTACGTATGATCGGAGACGGCGATGTACGTTGAGTCACTGACAAGCTAAAACCGAGTGGACTCGGATCAGAGCTTTGTTAAGGAGAAACGGAAATTGCTCGCAGGGAGAGAAATATGAGTGGTCACAGTATAATTTTCATAAAAAATAGGGACTTGAAAAAAATTTAAGTTTTTCTTTTTTCTTAGAAAGCCCCTTTAGCTTTTGAATACTCGCATATTTCCCCAAACTAATAGAAAATTTGATCCATAAGGAGAAGAAAGATATTTTTGTGCTATTTTTAATAGGTTAAAGACTTTTTAATCCATTAAATAGAAGTGAGGGACGAAGAGAAAAGATTGTATTTTTTTTTTAATTTGGTTTAGAAGGATAGTAGGTAACTAAGTATATTATGTGGAAGAGGAAGGGGGCGCAAGTATCATCTACTTGTCTTCTCCTTATTGAGTCATATTATTTGGTATTTGCATATTATTTTATCGTCATTATCTCACTTTAATCCTACTTTGATTAATTTTTTATAGTTAAAAACCAATTGAAAATACCCTCTCTAACCAAAAGGTAAAACTAAGGTCTACATTTGTCCATTAAAAATTGGTTTTAAGAAACTTGTACTGTTATTGCAAATGTTGTTATAGTGAGGTTGAACTCTAGTTTGCTAACTCAATATTGTAATAAACATTGCAATTTTTCAAACTGTGCAGAGAAAACACTCTCCATGACCAGAATTACACAAACGGTATGCACTAATGTTTCAAAGAGTCCAAGGCAATCTTGTGCAATAAGTCTTAACACACTACTGCAGGGTAAAAACTAGGTTAGAACTCTACATTCTGTACAATATGCACAAATCTAATACAATATCAGAGAAAGATCATGTTCGAATTTCTCAGAGAGAAAGTGAGCAGATGTTTATCTCTATGTGTTTTATATCATGGGAAAAATATGCAAATTCTTACCTAAATTTGGACAGAAATTTAACTCTCATCTAACAGATTCAGTGATAAGCTTATCAACTCGGATCAGTAACATCATATGCAGTTTCTCCTACGTCTGTCTGGTCAGACTCTACATGCCCCGACTCATTCTCAGGGAAAACCTCAGCTTGCAGAGAAGGAACAATGTTATTCACATGCAACCATGTCAGTTCCCACAAGCTATCTCCACCGAGAGCACTCCTCTGAACGAGTACCCCCTTAGATTTCATTACAACCAAGGTGTTCTTAAGAAGTTCAGGGACTAGCTCCTGAAGTTTTTCACTCTTCTTACCTCTGACCTTCACCTTCATGTATTTCTCCATCCGGTTGAGGACTCCAAGCCAGAGTTTGCAGAAGGTGGTCAATTGAGATAGCTCATGAAGCAACTGTAAAAACACCTTAGTTAACAGCTTCAAGGCAAGAATAAGTGTCTCTTCCATGTTTCTATAATCTTTCTGTGATGTGAGCTCAATCAAGTCGTCCAGCATTGTGAAAATGACAATATCAAAGCACTGCAACCAGAGACCATGTGAAAGGTACATTTCATCTACTCCTGTCAAGCACATTTGTAGGGATGAAAGAGCATGATTCCTAACTTCTCTCTGATCCAGACAAACTTTCCTCAGACCCTGTACAAGCCTCAGCCACATTTCCCCTATATCCTGAGACAGCTTCAAAGCTTCTGCCTCTGCCATCGCTTCCCTGGTATCTTTAGACCAGCATGCTAAACAAGCAGCAGAACCTGCCATAAGATCCACTGCACGAATAGGTCTATCGGCTGGTCCAACACGAGACTCTGCAAAATTTCTTGCTGCATCAATGCAAAGAACAAAATTAGCCGGAGACAAATGGGATCCATCAGACATGATGAAACCTAGGACATCAAATCCTGCTTCCGAAGCTTCTGGATGTCTAGCTGTTATAGAAAGTAACTGAGTAATAGTTCGCCATCCCATTTGAGATCGGATATGTGAAGCATTTGCTCTAACCAGCCGACTGACTTCCTGTGTAATTTGTTCGCAATATGCATCAGTTACCCGGGCATCAAGCTTGGTTACAAGTTGTAATGATCTGAGAAGGTCATCTGCTAAGTTCTCTTTATAAGGAAGCAGCCTCTGGCAGATGCGTAGTAGTCCAAAAACAGCTTTCTCAATTAGAGCACAAGGCATAATTGTTGAGTGTACAATATGAGCAATATGTTCATAAACTCCCTGCCAAAGAAGTGCTATTCTATCTCTATTGTTCAAAGTGATTGCAATCAGCAATTCCAAGCAGAACACTGCAGTATCTTCATCCTCCGGGGAACTACTACCTTTCTGAGGTCTCCCAGCAGCCCATATGAGGGCCCTTGCCAACTGCAACAAAGAATCAGCTAGGAGAAACTTACTTTCTGTGAAGATGGTATCAATTTGACACTTCTGAATTGTCTGCAGTGTGCGCTGATGAGCCGCAAGTTGTTGCTCAGTAGGTTGAGACCTAGGCTCTTCTGTATCTATAGATAGGAGTTGACTAAATCGTCCCATAAGTCCTGAAGATCTTCTGGGAGTACCTAAGGATTGCATATGAGCAGCAGACAATGAATTAGGGAGGGGTTTCCCATGTCCTGGATCAGAAGATGCCTCTGAGTCATCAGCTGCATCACTGGCTACACGAGCAGGAAGAAGACCAAGCTTGTGCAGTCTTAAGATGCAATCCAAGATATTTCTCCAGCCAGTACGGATAAAATCACCACATTTGTTTGCTATAGTGAAAACTGTAACAGTTGCCTTTCTTGCTTTTGCATCATCGCCAAAGGCTAAAACAGGTTCCTCCACCAATGAGGGATTCAACAGGGTTGTGAACTTACATAGAGATACCACTAGATCATCCAAAACATCTTCAAGATGATGGCATGCCGAAATCTTTGCAACAGCCAAGAAACCATCTATACAGGTTTGGTAGACATCCTCATGTTCAGCATGATCAAACACCACAGAGATAGCAGCAATAGTAGGGCCCGACATTATTGCGAACATATCATGATCAAGGTAGGCTTTAGAATCACACATGATGTATGGAGGAGTTTTTTTAGATTTGTGCATCAAATCAATCCAACGGCTTGGGTTCATTTCAGCAAAACCAGCACCTTGTTCTGGTGTTGTCCGGATCTCATTGTTGCAGATTGAGTGGTACAATTCAGATAGAAATTCACGAGGAAGATCATTACCTCCATTAATGTGCCTATTGTTACGGATGAAATCCTCCTCTGTCATCTTCTTCTTTACCTGAACATTGTGCTGGTCAGTGTTGAGCATTATTATTGAATATGATAACAACAGAGCAGCATCTTTATTAGCTAGAATCTGTGGAGATTGCTCATAGTATCTCTCTGAAAATGCCTCAAGCACCCTTGCTATCTTTTGAGATTCCCCAGGCAGTCGGAAAGTTTCCAAAAACAGCCTCAATGCAGTATCTAGGTTCATGTCTTGGAAATCAAATGTTCCAGCAAACTCATGAAGCACCTGAACACAAAATTCATCATGATTTCCAAGAAAATCCCCAACGAGATTCTTATCTAGCCCAGCTGTGAACCTGAAAAAGCAAGCCACACTCTGGGGATCAAGTTTTTCCGGCAATAGATGTGTTCCTTGAAGAAACTCTAGACCTTTCTTTGGGTCCCTATTAAAGTGATCAGCTCCAATCATTAACCTTCTCTTGATGTACTTCCGTCGACGTACAAATGGTACCCAATGATCAGGATCGCTATAGTTCTCACACTTGACCATCCAAAATGGACTATATTCCTCTAGATTTATTGGAGTGTATTCTGAACTATAGGATCCATTGCCTATCCTCTCAGCCATTCCCTGGATAACAGCAATCAGACCATCCAAAGCAAGAATATGCATGGAAGACAATGGAGAGTTCACCGGGAATGCACTCTTAGATAATAAATTTGCAAGTTCTTCAAAAATGTTACTGCAGGTGATATCACAATCTAAATTTGCATACATTTCTACCATGAAGGACTTTTGCCTGCAAAAGTCAACAAGAGCCTCCATTGCTACTTCCTGCTGCTGGTATGAAGCCCCATAACGGCTTTGTGCAAGTCTCAGGACCACACAGGAAAAGAAAGCCTCAAGCTGTAGTTTCAGTTCAGTTCGCAAGTGCTGATACAGATTTAGAACGATACTGCAGACCATTGAAAGAATCAATGGACTCATTGACAAACCAAACTGCATTAGATTACGGAATAATCCATCCTGGACCAAACTCAACAATCTGGGGTGACTGCAAATAGCAGGGCCTCCCAGTTCAATGGCTGAGTTGATCAAACCAAGGGCAAATAGAGGAACATCTTCATCGAATGCCATAGTATTTACCCTAGGACCCATCCCTACATGTTCTACAACATTCAACAAAGAGCACAAGAAGTGAAATATCTCAACCATGCATGGGACTCCATATGGTTCAGTCATTAAATGTAGGTCATAAGGAACACTATCCTTCCCGTTGTCACCCATGACCATGCCTTCTTCTGTAACACTGCTAAGCAGACCTGTTGAAGCAGAAGTGAAACCTCCAGAAGGTGGTAGACTATCATATTCAGAAGGACCACTCCCATTCTCCGACTTGCTACTCAAACTGTACTCGTTATCAATACCAGCAACCTATGTAAGAAGAAATTAACATATAATGCTTCGAACATATATGGTAGAAGAATAAGAGAACAAAAGGCAAAAGATGAATGCACAAGAAGTACTAGATCAATCTAGATTCTAGACTGCTGACCAAAACGATCAGATATAATGTACCGTATCCAGGCTCTATTTAATCCAGTTGGACATCTCTGCGCTGGAAAAAAATGCATGTGGGGACAAAATGCAAAGGCGAAGTTTAATTAAAGGATGAACTTAGCCAACATAAAAGACATGCTCCCGTTTTCTTTGCTTATCGGATGATGCCCATAAGGCAAGATTGGTCCATGAGAAGATTCCTTTTTTTCTAATGATGGTGGTGTTTGGACTAAGCTTGCGCTCACCTTGATTTATCCAACAGATAACTTACTATATATCACAAGCACAGGTACTGGACAAACCTATCCACTAGGGCTGGAGCAGATCACTCACAATTGAGTATTTTAGCTGGAACCCAGACCTGGGATCTCCGGACTTTTACTCCTATGCCTCAACCACTCAATCACCCCTTCATGAGAAAAATTCTACCACTATTAGATATAGTATGTTTTTCACATTTTTTATTAAATTTTGGGTCCAAGGACTGGAGATTATGGACAGTTTGTTAGATTGCCAAGTCAATAGCTGGGAACTATAATGTTAGAGACTGCAGCAAAGGATAACTTTCAGAGATTAAAAATAAAGGTGCACCTGTACCTCGTTTTTGGAGGAACCATGCTGTCTAACTATGGAGTGTTGTGTGTTGTCAACTTCCGGAAGGTGTGCAAAAATACATTTCACAAGTTCATGCATAGTGTGACGTGCTATCCGCTGTAAGACCTCACTTTTAGCTCCAGCTTGATGAACTACTCTGAAGCATGTGTTGACAATGGTGCAAACATGCTGGTTACTCAACACAACTGATGTTTTACTTCTCATGCATGCCAAAAGAACTTGAAGTATCTTCATCAATACAACTTCTTCTGATGCAGGATCTGTCACCTCAAATCTGCAACTAGTCACAGCATCCACAACAGAGTGCATTGCATCTTCAATATTGACAGCATCAAGATCAAGAATATCAAGGGTCAAAATCTTGAAAACAGAAGACAATGCAACACCAGTGATTGGTGCCCCAGTTTCATCAGACCGAATAACATCCAGAAATGGCTGGAGATATAAGGCCGGACTGATGGTTTGCCCCGAATGCTGCCACGAAAATATCTGCTTACGCAATGTCTTAAGAGACTGGATTAGAGAGTGTTCTAGCTGATCATCTCCTGAAACATAACGACCACCCCACCTAACATTTCTTCTCATGACTGCTAAAACAGCACTTACTTCAGAGTTAATCATACAAGCTATGGCAGTTTTGTTGGAAGAGGTTGTCTCACAATCTTCTGGTTCCTCTTCAATTGCCTTGATACTAGATTGTGGCCTTAAACGCCCCATTTCGAAAAAATGTGCAATTGGATTGTTTTCTGGATTTGTAGTCAAGGACGCGCTTCACAGGGTTGTTCTAAAAGGCCATCTTTGTGGTCTGCAATGAACAACAGTAACATAGAATGCAGTTATATTATATATCTATTAACTTCTCAGAAAGAGTAATGAGGTACCAAATGCATCCTGGGTATTTTACAATATAAAAGCCATGTAATTGTTCACAGAGCTCTCAAAGGTAAAAGGAATAGACTAAAAACAAAGTCTGCTTTTGTACTATCCTTAATAGCAGGAAATAAAATAATAGTAGCGGACTAGCGGTACAGATAACTGATCCCTTTCAATCCAAAAATTATTTGGTCAAAAGATTGAAACTTAGCAACATCATACACTGCAGCGTAATCTATGGATACCATTGCAACTACATCTTAGTCCCACATTTGCTTTACCGCCACCACACCCCATTTCCCCTCACTCTGCTCACATGTCATCCCTGTGCCAAATACTATGCAGCAAATGAGCACTGGCACTATCACAAAGTTATATCTTGCTACTGTCAATTATGATACCTAACAACAGGAAGCTTGGAGTAGTAAAAATAAAAAGGAATCTCCCTCTGGCAGATAGAGAGAATGAAGATAAACGGTCTGATGTTGCTACCAGATTCCCACAATATGCTAATAAAATGTGATTAATAAGTAAGTGTCTCATCTAGACCCTGAGACACAATACCTAATTTGGTTATTGCCCATTTCTCCTCTCCAAAGACTGTCCTAGAAAAAAGGATGATTAAATTGGTGCACATGCATAAAATCAGAAAGTTTTCAGCTCGCTAACCCCAGCAAGTAAAATCACACTATTGTAAGTGCATTCTACCTATGTCGCTGGCTGCTGTCACAACTCACAAGTAGGAAATTTCTTAATTTTCTATAGTAATGGCTGTCAGAGTCCCAAACGACTACAGACCACTCACTTACTTTTCAGGGACTGGTTTGTGAATTCTGAATTTGGGTATGAATCTGGCATTGGAATATGATCCAATTATCAGTAGGTAATTAGTGTATATTTTGAGCAATCTAATCAAAATAAAACACCCGTCATTCTTGTTTGACACGGGTACAACTAGGCAAATGGAAACTTCATGCACATAGCTACTCATTAGGCAGTGTATGTCTTCACCACCCTACTTACTCCTTCAATCTCTATTTACTAGGCATAATTTGTTATACTAAATTACCCTTATTAATTATGCTTTGAAAATCTAAGTTTGACTACTAGTACTTTATAGTTACTTAATGATAAGTGTAATATTGAAAGAAAGTAATAAATCTCTCTTGATTAGCTAAAATGGACAAGTCAATAGTAGATCTATTTTTAGTATAAGGAACAAGTAAAAAGTAATGGAGGGAGTAAATATGATTACACTGCTTGCCAAAAGTAAAAAAGCAATACAAATAAGCATTTGAATTACTTTCACATATTTCCTTGGCCAGAAAAACTCACACAGAGAAAAGAAAAACGAAAAAGCATACTACAGTTCCTCAAATTCCATCAACTAAATAAAACAAGTTTTTCTCCCTAAGTCAATTGACATTCTTTTGGGATACACAATAAAGAAGAAGACATCCACTTAGTGAAAGAACAACAATTCATTCAGCAATGTGGTCAATATAACCAAGTCAATTATCACAAGTGAAAGAGGCATACCACACGCACAAAGTGCTCACTTGATAGTGGCGGGACAGGGAGAGATGTCGATGTATACAATACGCAGCCTTCCCACCTACAGATCACCAATGAAGCAGCTCTACTGTTGACCCATGTCTCGTCCTCCAATCAACATACTACTGCCACAAAAACACACACTCAATTTTCAAGTCCTGAGATGGTATACCCTTTTTTTATTTTTTTAGATAATCATGGTATCTGGACCAGCTTACATACACCTCAACTAATTCCACGAAATATCTGCCACCTCCACCAGAAATCACTAGTGTTCTCTGTTGGAATTTGAACCCTGAGACCTCTAGATGGTATACCATATATCTCAAACTTTTAGATCAGCAACTAAAATGTTGAAGATCCAAACAATTAATTCAACACCAAAAAATAAATTCCAAAATAATGACTACAAACAACTCAACAACATGTCAACAACTCTTACATTACAATTATATTTATTTTTATGAAAATTATTACAAAATAAACAAAAAAAATTATATTCACACTGCTGTACCCAGAATTGATCAAAAAAACATCATTTTTCCCCGTAAAATGTGAATAATTGAAACATATCGATGTAAAAATGCGTGAAATGAAGAAGAGAAAGCAAAAAAGAGAGAGAAAAAGGGTTTACCTGTGTGTGGATCTATAGCTGAAGATGACTAGAGAGACCTCCGAAAGAGTGAGCAAGAAAATCGAGAATAAAACGAGAAGACTACTAGTAGTGAGAGAAAATCGAGAATAATTTTGTATTATAAAAATAATAATTTTGAGATATCCGCGTTGAAATCAAATTAATCCAAATTTATTATGCAAGTCAAATTAATTCAAATTTACTGTGTAAGACTCAAAATATCCGCATTGAAGTCAAATTAATCCAAATTTATGTATAAGACTCATACACGAAAGCTCGACATGAAAAATTATATAATTAAGAAAAAAATAGTTTCATCCAATGTATCACATCGAATATAGAATTATACATGGTTTACTTCCTCCAAATTTATTTTCATGTGTCTTAATAGTCTGTTCGATTATAAGTTTTTGAGAAACAAAAATAGGAGTAATATTTATCGTGGTGATTTAAAATATTTGGTTTAAGTTTTTAGAGAAAAATAATTACCTTTTAGTAGTTATAGATTATTATTCTAATTCTAAGCCAAAATAAAAATTGAGAAGCCTAAAAAGTTTTAATATTGATACAAGTATTTTTCAATTGATCAATGAGCACAATTATTATTATACTTTTTAGAAAGCACCTCTAACCAAAAAAAATAAAATTGTTTTGGAATCTTGATCAAATTCAAACATGTAACTATATTAAGGAATTACTTAATATAAGAAAAGTAAACATTATTTAATGTCATCTAAAAGGTAACAAGAAGTAAAGTTCATAACAGTATTCAAGTAAACAATAAGCATAAACACCAAAAAAAGATAAAAATAACCGAGGTTCAATTTAAAATACAGATATACAAACACAGAGACAGAGTCACCATAAGAAAGAAAGCTGATAATTAAATAGTTCAAACATCTCATAGCATTGATAAACAATAAAGTCATAAAACATCTAAGAAATTTAGTTGAACTTGCTCATTGGTAACTCCAACCATGTAAGGTTTATACTAAGTTCAAATGTATTTAGAAATGAAGCATAAAACACAACAAAACGCGCTTAAGCTTAAAGCAGTATCTGCTTGCAGCTCAGGAAATACAAGTCATAGATGGAGGATCTGAAACTCAAGCCACTATCTTTGAAGATCTTACAAACAGACTGTCAACAACCTTCCCCATATTTGAAATGGTTTCCAATGTAGCCGGGTAAATTGCGTCTTGCTTAGGGTCTTCAAAAATTACAAGGCATCCAGCACCCTGGTCCAGAGTTCCAGCAAACTTCTTGTCTAATATCATTTGAGATAACTTCTTCTCAACATGGTCAGCTGGCAACTCAATCAACTCAGCAATATGAGCAATCTCGACTCTTGAGAAAGGCTCGATCAACCTGCAAAGATTCTGCTCCATTAAAGTGTCATAGAGCGAAGAGAGGTGCCTATGGACGATAGGATCTTCATCTAGCTGAGCCTTAAAGTTGCGAAGAGAAGTCTCAAAGAGCTTCAAAGATCGCTTGGAGTGAGCATCAGCAACAGCTTTCATTGCATCAACTTCTGGCCCCTGGTAATTCAATCCAACCTTGGTTGATATTATTCCTGCAACATCATCAGCCTGGCTGACCATGATTTTGCATAGCAACATATACTTGAGGCTGTATAAGGCCTGGGGATTTTCAAGGGCATTAAATGCTTCAAATGCCTCATAGAAATAGCTGTAAGCAGTTTTATAATCCTTCTCTTCTGCATGGAGTATCCCACTCTGCAAATCAATGGCACCTTGCTGAGCTGGAGGGACATAAATAGCATTGGCGGCTGTTCGAGCAGCAGTAAGTGCAGCCTTGGCTTTGGGAAGATTTCTCAACGAGAAATGGAGCTGGCTCTCCAGCAAGTCAATCTCCACAAGAAGAAGCTTGTCATCCAATCTTCTCACCTCCTTGATCAACCCTGAAAGGAGTGTCAATGCTTCAGAATACTCTTTGTTTTCCATCAAAAGAGCTGCAAGTTTTGCCTCAACCCGCTGACGAAGGAAAGTTCGTTTCTCCGAACGGGCCCACTGCACTATATCTTTGCAAAGTGTAATCTGAAGGTCAGATGTGCCAGGTATTTTAGCCACCGCATCAACAATTCCTTTATTAACAATTTTGGCTGTTTTTGCCTTGGGTATTAAAGAGAAGAAGGGACGCAACTGGACGAGAAGCTTTTGGAGATCCTCAGCCCTCTTCTCTTGACTTAGGAGGTCAGAGAGATTGAAGATTGCCTGCTCTTTGATCCTTAGGGCCTCGGAAGATGATGAAGGGTTCTCAAGGATGCGGTAGAGAATGGAGATAGCCTCAGATGGGGTTGTAGCCTCAGAAGCCTGAGCTAGTGAATCTGTGGTTGCAGGTAGATATGAAGACGCCATTGTTACAGCTAGCAGATCTTAAATCCTGCAATTTTTAGACAAGAAGGAAATTATATATGTACAAGCACAAAGGAAGCATTTAGGACACTTTGTCTTGCTGTCTTTTACATGGATTCTATTTTGCAGTTAGTCGCTAAAGATGTGAGAGTAGTTAAAATAAAGAAACTGCATTAAGCTATGCCAGCTACTTTGACATAGAAAGCAAAAATTCTCCAATATGTAAGCAAGTGCAAAAGTACGCTTCAGCTATAAGGCTCTAATAGGGCAAAAAAGCTCATAGAAAATATATGACCTAAGGTAAGTATTGATTTAGCTAAAAGTAAAAGCAACTCATTTCTTTGTCCTGATACAAAAGAATAAAGAAGGAAGACGTAAACTTAGAATGAAGTAAGCAACTGCATGTCAATCCAAATGTACCCTTGTCCTCAATTTCCTCCCAAGTATTTATACCTCTGCAATTCAATTGTCCTAGCAACTAGCAGAATGAAGGTTAGCTAGTCTGATGGAGATAATGAAATTTTAGAGAGAAAATCCATTGAGCTGGGATGGAAGCAGAACAGATATTTTTGTGAACCAAAGTCCCGACCAAGCACTGGACACGAATGTAAAACCAGCATGAACCTTTAAAAGCTACAACACCAACACATTCAGAAAGCAATATAACAACTCTATCCTCAGTATTCTTGCACACTGCCAAGATTTTAATAAGCACCAGCAATCTTCATTCTAAACATAAAAGGACACAAGTATGCAGTAGGTCTATTATACATTTTGAAAGGAAAATTGATCTAGGACTTCATCCTGACTTGAACAAAATCAGAGTAAAATTAAACACGGAAAACAATCAACAATTCCATCAGCCTCCAGAAAAGCTTCACAGCTTCTGGAGAGTAAATGGCCAATGACTACCTACATTGATGAAAACTAGAGATTTCATAAGACCGTTGAATAGGCAGTCAACGTATTTAAGCATTCATGAAATTCTTGAAATTGAACCCCATTAACTAGACCTTACACCCCCAATTGCTGAAAAGCACAATCTGCCAATAAAAAATCCATCTTTTACAGTTCTAGCCTATTTCATCCTTATTCTGTAAGAAAACAGCGCCAACTCCTCAATCCTAAACTAGTTAGAACTGGCCTTGTGAATCTTCAATATCCATTCTATTTGCATCAGTTTCATTCCACTCGAGAAATATCTATCTAACACTAGAGGTTTCTACATTCTCCAAGGATATACAGATCCTTTAAGAAACTAACAAGACTCGGACTTTATGTAAGTATACCAACATGACCAAACCTTAATTCCGAACAACAATTGCAACACATTTAGAGAGCTGTAGAAATTGAAGTTTCAATATGCAGCACAAACCGACACAACACACAAAGCATTGTAAAACCCAACTGCTGAAAAGTAACAATTTGATAATAAAAACATTGAATAGGCAGTCATCATATTTAAGAGTTCATGAAATTTAAATGAACCCTATTAACTAAACCTTACACTACAATTACTAAAAAGTCAAAACCTGATGATGAAAATTCCATCTTTTACACCCCTTCCACTTTTTCCCTTTGTTTAATAAGAGTATAACAGCAATAACTCCTAAATCCTAAGCTAATTGAATTGCCCTTGCAAATTTTCATAACCCGAGTTTTGGCTCAATCACACATGTCCTTAATAGCCCTAATGTAAGCCACAAGTAGACCTCTAGACTCCAAGCATCTCATAGAAATTAAAGCCCAACTGCTTAAAAGTCACAATATGATGTAAAGCATTGAATAGGCAGCCATCATCTTTACAAGCTCATGAGATTCTTGAAATTGAACCCCATTAACTAAACTTTACACCACAATTGCTGAAAAGTGATAAAGTTTCCATCTTTTACACCCCTTTCACTTTTTTTCCCTTGTTATTTCAGTGAACAACAACAATAACACCTCAATCTTGAACGAATCCAATTTCCCTTATGAATTTCCCAACATACCCACTCCATTCACACTCGCTAAGATTACTCTAATACAGATCTCTTAAACAAACTACGAAGACTCCGGCAACTTACCTTATGATTAAACTTAATATCCAATATCACAACACAATGAACATAAAGAATTCAAAAAAAAACATTGTAAAACCCATATCGAAGTTGGTGCTTTTAACTCGCAATCAAAAAAGGGTTAGGGTTTTTCGAATGTGAAATAAACGGAAGAAGAAATCATAAGAGATGAGATAAGAAACTTACCGAAAGACTTCGCCGGAGAAAGAGATCGCCGAGAGAGAGTTCAAATTGGGGTGAGTAGAGCGACTGCAACAAAGATGGGAATCTCAGCTGCCGTGTACAGGAATTAAACCTTGAAGAGGGTTGTGTTAGTAAAAGAGACTATTTTTTTTTTTTTATTTGCTAAATATTATTTATATATTTTTTATTATAAGGTTTTTTTCTTAATGTTCTAGTAGTAATTCCTTTTTTTATATTATCATTTTATTTTGTCATTATTATAAATTTATAATTCTACCCCTTCCGTTTAATTTTATTTGTTTACTATTTTTAAAATATATTTATTTTTTTTATTTTATAATTTTATCATTACAAGAAAAGATAATAATTTTTTACATCTTATAGTTAACATTAATTACTTATTTGTTTTTAGAATTTTCGTATCTCAATTGATTAGCTACCTACAATTTAACTTTATCGGTGAATGTTCGATTCTCTAAATTGTTAATCCCCTCCTCTATTTTTCTTTTCTTGACTCACAATTTTATTTTTTGTCTTTTAAAAAAAAGGTCATAGCGTTGAAAACTTGAAAAACCCTTCTTGGATGCCTAAATAGAAAGAGCTGAGAAAATAAAGTATACAACGCATTCGGCGAATGCGATTTATGCATAAGTTTTAATCTCTTTTTATTTATTGTTGAAATTACATTATTATTCTTTCCGTTTAATTTTATTTGTTCACTATTTTAAAAAATATTTATTTCTTTTATTTAATACTTTTATCATTACAAGAAAAAATAATAATTTTTTACATTTTATACTCAACATGAATTGCTTATTTCTTTTCAGAATCTTCGTATCTCAATTGATTAGCTACCTACAATTTAACTTTATCGGTGAATGTTCGATTCTCTAAATTGTTAATTCCCTCCCATATTTTTTTTTTCTCGACTCACAATTTTATTTTTTGTCTTTTAAAAAAAAGTCATAACATTGAAAATTTGAAAAATCCTTCTTAGATGCCTAAATAGAAAGAGATGAGAAAATAAGGCATAAAACGCATTCGTCGAATGCGATTTATGTATAAGTTTCAATCTCTTCTTATTATTATTGAAATTACATTATTACCCCTTTTGTTTAATTTCATTTGTTCACTATTTTGAAAATATATTTATTTCTTTTATTTAATACTTTTATCATTACAAGAAAAGAGAATTATTTTTTTATATTTATACTCAATATTAATCACTTATTTGTTTTCAGAATCTTCGTATATCAATTGATTATAGCTATCTAAAATTTAACTTTATCGGTGAATATTTGATTCTCTAAATTGTTAATACCATCCCCTATTTTTCTTTTCTCGACCTACAATTTTATTTTTTGTCTTTTAAAAAAAGGTCATAGCATTAAAAATTTGAAAAATCCTTTTTGGATGCCTAAATAGAAAGAGTTGAGAAAATAAGGCATAAAACGCATTCGGCGAATGTGATTTATCTATAAGTTTCAATCCTTCTTATTTATTGTTGAAATTACATCATTACCCTTTCCATTTAGATTTATTTGTTCACTATTTTGAAAATATATATATATTTTTAATACTTCTATCATTACAATCAAAGATAATAAGTTTTTACATCTTATACTCAACATTAATTGCTTATTTGTTTACAGAATCTTCGTATCTCAGTTGATTAGCTACCTAATATTTAACTTTATCGGTGAATGTTCAATTCTCTAAATTGAAAATTTGAAAAACCCTTCTTGAATGCCTAAATAGAAAGAGTTGAGAAAATAAGGCATAAAACGCATTCGGCAAATGCGATTTATGTATAGATTTCAATCGCTTCTTATTTATTGTTGAAATTACATTATTACCCCTTTCATTTAATTTTATTTGTTCACTATTTTTAAAATATATTTATTTCTTTTATTTAATAATTTTATCATTACAAGAAAAGATAATATTTTTTTATTATTCCTGCAACATCATCTGCCTGGCTGACCATGATTTTGCATAGCAACATATACTTGAGGTTGTATATGGCCTTGACATCGACATTGGGAACTGCATGAAGTATCTCACTCTGCAAATCAATTTCACCTTGCTAATCTGGAGGTACATATATAGCATAGGCTGTTGTTCGAGCAGCTATAAGGCAAACTATAGTAATGTTAACGAATTAATGTTTGCTTATACGCGTAATTTTTTTCTTAAATAATTAAGTATATTATTTTGGATTTTCTTTGATTTTAAAAGTTTAGAAATAACAACAATTGATTAAAAAAATCAAATCAAACTGATAAATTATATATACATATTTTTATAATTATATATATGCAATTTATGCTTTTTTATAAATAATTTTTTAACTATATATATTTTGTATAATTTTCAACAAAATTTCATTTTTACCATTAATTTTATCTCTACTAGACTAAATATCCTATAGGTCTTAGATATGAATTAAAAATTTATGCAAAAAAATACACTATTGAGATTTTTACCTAAACTTTTTTATTTATTCAGCTAGTTGAAGCTTATACATCTCAAGACTTTGCTTTATAATAAATCTCATTGTAATGACACAAGCAATGTTTGATGAAATAATGGAAATTAAGAAAAAGAAAATATAAAAATTATACTCATATATATAGCACTCTTTTGCATGTCATATAAGGAGAACATCCCTGCACGTTTTTCTCCATAATAAACAATATTGTCAATCATATTATTCTATATATCTAATGCATTCTATCATGTTATCAACTTCATATCATCACCTTTAATTCCAACGACGATGGTCCAATTCACAACCCTCAAGAGGCTCACCTCAGCGGGCGCCGGCGCCACCCTCCCCACCGCTCGGTCTCTCGCCGTCGACGTGTAGCAAATTCATTCATCAACCTTAGGCTCACCATCTTATGTGGGGTTGTAACAATCTTAGTGTTACGTGGTACCATAGGCATTAACAACTTCTCCTCTAATAGTCCTTCCCTAAACCAAAACCAAAAACTTGTTGAAGAAACGAATCGGGTCATTGCTGAGATCCGATACGACGATAATGATAACGATGATGATGATAATTTTGAATATCCTCAAAATTCTACCTATAGTTTAGGTCCAAAAATCGACAATTGGGATTCTACAAGAAAAAGTTGGTTGCATGGAAATCCAAGATTTCCAAGCTATATAAATGGAAAGCCTCGCGTTTTGCTGGTAATGTTAGATAGTTTGTAATATTTTCATTTAAAGGCTTTACTTATTAGATAAATGACTTAAAATTCGAATTTGAAATTTAAACAGACACATATGTTCATGAAATAAGATGATTCTCTTAAAGGCTAAGTCAATTTAAGAAAAGTTGTTTTGTTTAATTTTTTATTTTTTTTTCTAATAGGTAACGGGTTCACCTCCAAGTCCTTGTGACAACTCAATTGGGGATCATTATTTGTTAAAGTCAATAAAGAACAAGATTGATTATTGTAGAATTCACAATATTGAAATTGTGTACAACATGGCACATTTTGACAAACAATTATCAGGATATTGGTCAAAATTGCCATTAATTAGAAAATTAATGATGTCTCATCCAGAAATTGAGTGGATATGGTGGATGGATAGTGATGCAATGTTCACAGATATGGTATTTGAAATTCCATTATCTAAATACAATGGAAAAAATTTGATCATTCATGGATATCCTGAATTATTAAATGAAAAATCGTGGGTTGCTTTGAACACTGGAAGTTTTCTTCTAAGAAATTGTCAATGGTCTTTAGATTTGCTTGATTCTTGGGCACCAATGGGACCAAAAGGTAAAATTCGCGATGATGCTGGTAAAATTTTGTCAGAAAATTTAAAAGGTAGGCCTAATTTTGAAGCGGACGATCAATCAGCATTGATATACATGTTAATATTGAGGAATAATAAGTGGATGGACAAGGTGTTTGTTGAAAATTCGTATTATTTACATGGTTATTGGGCTGGTTTAGTGGATCGATATGAAGAAATGATTCAAAAATACCATCCAGGTTTTGGAGATGAGAGATGGCCATTTGTGACACATTTTGTTGGTTGTAAGCCTTGTGGAAGTTATGGGGATTATCCAGTTGAAAAGTGTTTGAAAAGTATGGAAAGAGCTTTTAATTTTGCAGATAATCAAGTGCTTAAATTGTATGGATTTAGGCATAGAGGTTTGTCAAGTCCTAATGTTAAAAGAATAAGAAATGAAACTTTTAGGCCTTTAGAGTTTGTTAGTGACTTGGACATTAGACATTCTACATTATTTAGAGGCAGTCTATGAAAAATTAAATTTTCTTTTGGTTTTTAGTGGTTTTTTAGAGAGACTCTCTTCCTTGTATTTGTAAATTGTTTACGAAGAATATGGTCAGTGATAATTCATATAGCTCGATACCAACTCGTTTAAATGAGATGTATAGTTGTTGTAATCTTATACACTTTTTTTTTTCTTTTATGATCAAAATGGAAATTAATTGGTTTTGCTCCCATCTAGTTTAAGCTTTCTAAAACATTTTCATTTATCCATACTTTAACTTATTCTGTAAAGTGGAATTAGTTATGTAAAATATTCTTGTTATGTACATGGAGTATTATTTTCCAAAACCTAGCTAATTGACAATTACAATTTTGTTCCTCTGTCTTTATATATATGGCGCACAAAAAATTTGGTATTATTTTCTAATAAAAACAGACCGTCTGATGCACAAAATATGATCTCACGTAATTCAATTATATGTTTATGCTTTATCTTGCATCGTTATAAGCCTAATTACTTCCGAATCAACAGTAGAGAAAGCTTCATTATAACAATGTAGAGGAATGATGATATATTAAAGCTTCAATATAATTATTACCTCCCAATCAACATAAAGCTAACTCCATAATATATTAAAATTTCATGTGTAATTAACAACATTACAAAGGGTAAATTTTTATTGGTGTCAACTATTAAGAGATATTTTGAAACTCATACTTAATAAAAGATATGCACTTAAAATAACTAAAAAGACATATGAAGATGCTTAAAAACATTTAAGTTTATTATTTTCAACAACCTTAACTTATTATTCATTCGGATGAAGTAATAGAAAAGCTTATTTAAAGTAGTAATTATAAGAAGAAAGAAGTATTGATACACTTCTAAACTTATAGTAAATTATTAGTTTCGTTTCCAAACTATTGACAGCCTTAAAAATATTCTTCTACTCGACTAACTGAACTTAAATACACCTCTGATCTGGCCACATGGTGAAATACACCCCTAAATTCTCGCCAAGTTTAGATATGCTTTCAATACTTCTCTCGGCTTTCTATTAAGAACCCGACGCTCGTACAAGAGTTTGAGACCACTTGTTATGCCATGTGACAGATCAAGGGTACTGTATTTAAATTGAGTTAGTCAAGTAGAAGATTGTTTTTAAGGCTGACAATAATTTAAGGATGAAACTAGCTAATAATTTACGTCAAGTTCAAGTGTCTCTTCAATACTTTTCTCTTATAAGAATCAAAGTTCAAGGCCACTCCCTTGAAGCTTCAACTTGGTAATCTTGTCAAGTTGCTCTTCCATTTCAGGTGTCATATGATTCTTCCATTCCCCAACAACTCCTTTTCTGAAATATGCACTATTGTGAATATGAGAGAAGATTGATCCACTCTTGTTAACCTCCAAGTTCTTAAGCCTCTCCATGCTACACTTGTTCAAAACTATCTCCAAATCCTCTTCATTATCAAAAGGCTTTCCAAGAAACAAGGCTATTTTTGCCACCTCTTTCTTAGGGTCTATCTTCAAGTCTTCATACTTTAAGAATAATATTTTTTGAGGCATTTTTTTACTTTCTTCCCAATATTCAAGAACATGTTCAAAAAATGGTCCATACGGATGAACCCCTTTGCAAAAGTTCTCCACAACTTCTTCTAAAGGAGAGAGATCTTCTAAACGCTTACGATTATTGAAGAAATGCCACATAGAAATTATGGTATCTTTAGGATTTCTTGTTATGTATATAATCTTGCAATTATTCGAATTTTTTATTGAATTTGGCAAAATCCTATAAGGTAAATGTGTGTGAAATAATCTTGGAGAAGGCATTGTGTACACATCATGAGTTGGAGTTTTTGAATAAGAATGCATGACCTCTATTGTTGGAACATGAAAATGAGGATTATCCTTAACTAAAAGGTCTTCTTCTTCCTCTTTATTACCTTGCATGATGGATACACATATGGCCTTGAGCCAGGTTGAACCTGTAAAACAAACACACATCAGACATTAGAATAAAAATATATAGTTTTGTTTATTAGTTAATATCTTGTTTCCGTTGATCATTAATATGTAAAAAGTTACAATTTGAACTTGAAGAAAATATATAGTTGATGAAAGGTAGACCTAAGAACTGTATGCAAGTATAAGGCACTCTAATTTTTTAAATGTGTACACACAACAAAAAAATTATAAGGAAAGACCACATTCTAAGATCAGTGAGTAGGTTAGGTTTTGATAATTAAAAAAGATGACTTCCGTAACGAGAATAGGAAAATAAGTTCCATAATGGGAATTCCACGCCAATTGTCTCCTCCCTACGCTCCAATATTCCACCTCCCTCCCCACACACACTTCACCGCCCCCATTCCTCAACACAGATAAACGATGTTGTGACAATATTTAACATCAGAGAAAATTAAGAACACATTTTTCTTCGTACCAAATACACGACCTTAAATGTGGAATATATATATTTTTCCACAAGAAGATAAAATAGTTGATGAATTCATTAATCAAACTAAAATCAATTGATTAATTAATAAAAACCTGTTTTTATGGAAGATGCCAATAGAACATCATTAGGTTTTGATTTGAAGGTTGCCTTGAAGACCATGGTTGCCTTTACAGTGGTAAGAGTGGACCAAAACCCTTCCCACTGATATAGTTGAATTTTATTCCAAAAATAATCAATTTTGGGCAGTTGTTCTATAATTCACTCTATTTCTTCATTATTCACAATTGGTGATGATTTTTCTCACTCATTTTTTTAGGAATAGATCTTAATAAAAATAGTGGTAGTTCATATAGTTTAATTGGCCAAATGATATGTGCGTCTATATATAGGGGAAGGAGCTTAACGTAATTGTTAATGTGATGCAATAAGAGATCTATGACATCTTCCATTTAGTGATTCTAGTATACTCTATAATGTATAGGATAACCAAAAAAGATCATATAGTATAAATTTCTTCTTGGACTTTGTAAAGAAAGCTATTTGAAAAAAAATTCCATCACGAGTTAATTTATGATTTAATTAGCAATGAAAAATCGATTGAATGTAAAGTCATCCTAATTGATGTCCATTCATAGCTCTATTAGGTAGGCATAGCCCAATCTATGTATTAATAATAAAATTTTGCAGTTGGATCATAATATTATTCCCACATCGCGTGAGTTTCAACACTAGTAAAATGAAGTAAGAGCAATAAATTGTCTCCATTTCAAAACTCACAGACTTGACATTATATATATATATATATTGATTTTCAGTGGAAGAACTTACTCCGAGAAGTCCCTTATCTCTGTTGACTATTTTACACCGTCAGGAGTTATTAACATAGCAAAACGTAAAAGGAGGTTTCTGAAATTCGCTGAACTTTACATTTATTTAGAAATCATTTATGTTAAATTTAATAAGTATGACGATATGAGTAAAAAAATAAATTTGTCAAATTCAATTTGATGGTATATCATATTTTTGTAAATTAAATTAAGTTTATTTTGTACATCTCTAAAATTTGAAGAAGAAGAAAAAAAAAAAAGACAACCAATGAATCCACCCATGTCATACATACTTGGTAGAAATAATTAGAGTCTAAATTGCCTTATAATACTATTTTCTTATCCATATTTAAAAATTAAAAATAAAAATAATTAAGAATCTTACCTGTCATAAGCATTAAAAATTCGAGACGGTGACTAGTGGATATTAATTAATATCTTCTAATTAACAAGCAACTTTCACGTATAGCAAACATAAAAATCATATTTGTATGCTATAACTATAGTTTACATAATTGTGCTCCATAACAAACATAAATATGTATATTTCGCTACACATATACAAAAGAAAGTAATTATATAATATGTTTCGGTATACATATACAAAAGATCAATTATATAATCTGTGTTTGTATAAAGCGAGAAAGAGAGAAAGACAAAAGAAAACTAGACAGAGGAAGATCGTATTTGTATAATCATAAGTGTATAGGACAAAAAATATATGCATTTGTATTTGTATATACAATTGTCTCTTGCTTTATACAAACACAAACGCATTGTATACATTTGTATTTGTATAAAGTGAGAGAGGCGAGCGAGATCTGGGAGAGTAGCAAGTGAGATCTGGGAGAGTGGCGAGCGAGATCTGGGAGAGGGGAACAAAAATATAAGTATATATATTCTCTCGCTTTATACAAACACAAACACATTTTATACATTTGTGTTTATATAAAAGTGAGAGAAGCGAGGGAGACTGCCCATCGAGAACGAGAGTGGTGAGTGAGATTCACCAGGAGAAAGGCGAAATAGCAATAGTTTGCTATGAGGTACAATTAAATCAAACTATGATTATAGCATTTAATTTTAATTAATAGTTTGCTATTATATACAATTTTTCCTTAACTAAAGTCATTAGCATTAATGTCTACTATTTCATTTTAACACATCAACAAATTCTTTTTTTCTAAAATAGACACTCTAAATTTAATATTTTTAATTTCAAAAATATTACGCTGCTTTAAAAACCACCTTATCTATATCACTAATTAAAATAAAAGGTCTCGCATAATACATAAATAAGATCGAAGAAGTATAATGACATAAAACTCACTCCATAATATATTAAAATTTCATGCGTGCATAACAACATTACAAAAGATAAACTTTTATGTGTCAACAATTAAGAGATTTCTAGACTCATACTTCATAAAAGAGATGCAAAAAGACATGGAAGATAGACGCTTACACATTTAAGTTTTATTATTTTCAACAACCCTAACTTATTACTCATTCGGATGAAGTAATAGAAAAGCTTATTAAAGTAGTAGTTACAATAGAGAAGTAATGAAAACACTCCTAAATTTGACGACGTGAATTATTAGTTTCGTCCCTGAATTATTAACAGCTTTATACCCATCTATTTGATTAACTGAACTTAAATACACTTCTGATCTTGCCACATGGGTGAAAAACACCAAGAATTTAGGGGTGTTTCAACACTTTTCTCGGCTTTTTATTAAGAGTCTCACGCTCGTACAAGAGTTTGAGACCACTTGCTATACTATGTGACAGATCGGGGTGTATTTAATTTGAGTTAGCCAAATAGATGGATTCTTTTAAGACTGTCAATAATTCAAAAATGAAACTAGTAATTCACGTCAAATAGTTCAGGCGTGTTTCCAATACTTCTTGTTTATAAGTATCAAAGTTCAAGGCCACTCCCTTGAAGCTTCAACTTGGTAATCTTGTCAAGTTGCTCTTCCATTTCAGGTGTCATGTGATTCTTTCAATCTCCAACAACTCCATTTCTGAAAAATGCATTATTGTGGGCATAAGAGAAGATTGATCCACTCCTATTAACCTCCAAGTTCTTAAGCCTCTCCAAGCTACACTTGTTCAAAACTATCTCCAAATCCTCTTCATTACCAAAAGGCTTTCCAAGAAACAAAGGCTATTTTTGCCACCTCTTTTTTAGGGTTTATCTTCAAGTCTTCATACTTCAAGAATAATATTTTTTGAGGCTTTTTTTACTTTCTTCCCAATATTCAAGAACATGTTCAAGAAATGGTCCATACGGATGAACCCCTTTGCAAAAGTACTCCACAACTCTTCTAAAGGAGAAAGATCTTCTTAACGCTTACAATTATAGTTGAAGAAATGCCACATAGAAATTATGGTATCTTTAGGATTTCTTGTTATGTATATAATCTTGCAATTATCCGAATTTTTGGTTGAGTCTGGCAAAACTCTATAGGTAAATGAGTGTGAAATAATCTTGGAGAGGGCATGGTGTCTAGATCATGAGTTGGAGTTCTTAAATAATAATCCATGGCCTCTATTGTTAGAACATGAAAATGAGGATTATCCTTAACTAAAAGGTCTTCTTCTTCCTCTTTATTACCTTGCATGATGGATACACATATGGCCTTGAGCCATGTTGAACCTGTAAGACAAACATCGGACATTAGAATGAAAATATATAGTTTTCGTTGATCATTGATGTGTAAAAAGTTACAAGTTGGGATTGACGAAAATATATAGTTGATGAAAGGTTGACCTAAGATCTATATACGAGTATAAGGCACTCTAATTTTTAAATGTATACACGCAACAACAAAATTGTTAGGAATGACCACATTTTAAGAGTGTGTAGGTTAGGTTTTGATGATAAAAAAAAATGACTTCGGTAACGAGAATTGAAAAATAAGTTCCATAATGGGAATCCCACGCCAATCGTCTCCTCCTTATACTCTCCAATGTATATACATATCTATCTATCTATATTACCTTAAAAGCATGAACTCCTAATTTAAATGTTAAATTACTATAATATCCCTAACTTAGGTTGTGACTTTTTCGATGAGTTGTGACTTTTACGATAAGTTGTGACTTTTTTTTTGAAGGGTTGTGGTTTTTCGATGAGTTGTGACTTTTCCAAAGAGTTGTGTACTTTTCATTAAGTTGTGACTTTTCCAAAGAGTTGCTAACTTTTTCAATAAGTTGTGACTTTTCCAAAGGGTTGTGACTTCTCGAAAAGGTCATGACTTTTCAGATAAGACACAAAAAATATTTGTTCATACTACCCTTTGTTGACTATAAATAGAGGGGTTTCCTCTTAGTTTTCAACCACAATTTGTTTTAACTTTTACTCTTCTTCTTCTTGCATTTTAATTTTTTTTGTGTCATTTATTATCGTTGAGTTAGTTCGAAGTTTAGCGGAATATGAGATACCACTATTCTGATGAAGTAAGTTGTTCTATCCTAAGAGGGTATATTCCATAACCTCGAGTACTTGAGGAAAATAATTTTGATGATATAATAATTATTTTTTTGCTTAATATATACATCAGTATGTAACGTTCCAAATTTTGTAGTCTAAATTCATTTGTTTATGTTAACATTTTCTCTTGTGACAGAGATATATGCCTCTGAATATTTTTTCCAAAATTTAGAGAATTGTCATGATTTGTTTTTTATGCTCAAGACAAATGAATGACTTTATTTATCAATACTATTTATGTGATTTAGACTCTCGGGAATTTTTCTTCAAAATAGTTATATAAATATTGCCTTTTTGTTTTACTTATATACTATTTCTTAATATTTTAGTATTTTAGACGAAGAAAAGTTCATATGACTTGTAATAACGCATGTTGAAGTTTGTATTAGTAATTTTTATTACCCTTTATTTAATAGTTAATTTTATGAGATAAATATTTTCATTAATGCAAATATATATTTATATTTGGGTAGGTATTTGTATTTAAATTAAAGTATTATATATGTCACAAATGTATTATCAAGTTAACAAGATTTTCTAACTTCAAAGTATATTATATAAAATGTATTTGTTCTCTTCACATGTTCATAAGACATCTAAACAATTTAATGTGGAATACACATGCAAAGCACATCTGGTTAGATGACGAAAAAAAAATACAGATCAAATATTGTCTATAAGGTAATATTAGTGGGATAAAAGGTTTGCATTAATAAGAGATATATATGACGATCCACAATGAACATTCACAAAAGAATCTGCAATATTATTTTTTGCTAAATTTATTATTCAAATCTTCGCTTAAATAAACAATACTATTTACTATAACATATATTTTTGAAATTGTTATTCACGTGCAACGCACGTGTCAAAAAACTAGTATATATATATATGCTATTGTGATAATATTTAACATCAGAGAAAATCAGGAACACATTTTCCTTCGTACCAAATACACAACCTTAAATATGGAACATATATATTTTTCCCCATGAAGATAAAATAGTTGATGAATTCATTAATCAAACTCAAACCAATTGATTAATAAAAGCCTGTTTTTATGGAAGATACCAAGAGAACATCATTAGGTTCTGTTTTGAAGGTTGCCTTGAAGATCATGGCTGCCTTTAAAATGATAAGAGTGGACCAAAACCCTTCCCACTGATAAAGTTGATCAATGTTATTCCACGAATGATCAGTTTTGGGCAGTTTCTCTATAATTCTCTCTATTTCTTCATTATTCACAATTGCTGATGATTTTTTCTCACTCATTTTAGGAATATATGGAATTAATAAAAATAGTGGTAGTTCATATAGTTTAATTACCCAAATGATATGTGTGTCTATATATAGAGGAAGGAAGAGTCGTTTTAAAAAATATTTACATAATCAAATTACTTAACGTAATTAATGCGATGCAATGAGAGATCTATAACATCTTGCATTTGGTGATTCTAGCATACTCTATAATTTATAGGATAGCCAAAAAGATCATATAGTATAAATTTCTTCTTGGACTTTTTAAAGAAAGATTTGAAAAAAAATTCCATCACGAGTTAATTTATGATTTAATTAGCAATGAAAAATCAATTGAATGTAAAGTCATCCTAATTGATGTCCATTCGTAGCTCTATTAGATAGGCATAACCCAATCTATGTATTAATAATGAAATTTTGCTGTTGGATGATGATACTATTATCCGCACATGGCGTGAGTTTGAAGTAATTAAGAGCAATAAATTGTCTCCATTTCAAAGCTCATAGACATTTGGCATTTACAGCTGATTTTGCAGGGCAGGTATATATATATTATTTTTTCGATTTTCAATAGAAGAATTTTCTTCGAGAAGTCTCTTATCTCTATTGACTATTTTACACCGTCAAGACTTACTAACATTGCAAAACGTAAAAGGAGGTTTCTGAAATTTCCTTAACTTCACATTTATTTAGAATGCATTCACGTTAAATTTAATAAGTATGACGATATGAGTAAAAGAAAATTTGTCAAATTCAATTTGATGGTATATCATATTTTTGTAAATTAAATTAAGTTTATTTTGTATATCTCTTTGAAGAAGAAAAAAAGAAAAGACAAGAAATGAATCCACCCATGACATACATACTTGGTAGAAAATAATTAGAGTCTAAATTGCCTTATAATACTATTTTCTTATCCATATTTAAATATTAAAAATAAAAATAATTAAGAATCTTACCTGCTATAAGCATTAAAAATTCGAGACGGTGACTAGTGGATATTAATTAATATCTTCGAATTAACTAAAGTCATTAGCATTGTCTGCCTATTTCATTTTAACACATCAACAAATTCATTTTTTCTAAAATACACTTTAAATTTAATATTTTTAATTTCAAAAATATTATGCCGCTTTAAAAACCACCTTATCTAATCACTTATTAAAATAAAAGGTTTCGCATAATACATAAATAAGATCGAAGAAGTATAATGACATAAAACTCACTCCATAATATATTAAAATTTCATGCGTGCATAACAACATTACAAAAGATAAACTTTTGTAGGTGTCAACAATTAATAGATATTTCTAGACTCATACTTCATAAAAGAGATGCAAAAGACATGGAAGATAGACGCTTACACATTTAAGTTTTATTATTTTCAACAACCCTAACTTATTACTCATTCGGATGAAGTAATAGAAAAGCTTATTAAAGTAGTAGTTACAATAGAGAAGTAATGAAAACACTCCTAAATTTGACGACATGAATTATTAGTTTCGTCCCTGAATTATTAACAGCTTTATACCCATCTATTTGATTAACTGAACTTAAATACACTTCTGATCTTGCCACATGGGTGAAAAACACCAAGAATTTAGGAGTGTTTCAACACTTCTCTCGGCTTTTTATTAAGAGTCCCACGCTAGTACAAGAGTTTGAGACCACTTGCTATGCTATGTGGCAAATTGGGGTGTATTTAAGTTGAGTTAGCCAAATAGATGGATATTTTTAAGACTGTCAATAATTCAAGAGTGAAACTAGTAATGCATGTCAAGTAGTTCAGATGTGTTTCCAATTATACTTCTTTGTTTATAATTATCAAAGTTCAAGGCCACTTCCTTGAAGCTTCAACTTGGTAATCTTGTCAAGTTGCTCTTCCATTTCAGGTGTCATGTGATTCTTCCAATCCCCAACAACTCCTTTTCTGAAAAATGCACTATTGTGGATATAAGAGACGATTGATCCACTCTTATTAACCTCCAAATTCTTAAGCCTCTCCAAGCTACACTTGTTCAAAACTATCTCCAAATCCTCTTCATTACCAAAAGGCTTTCCAAGAAACAAAGCTATTTTTGCCACCTCTTTCTTGGGGTCTATCTTCAAGTCTTCGTACTTTAAGAATAATATTTTTTGAGGTTTTTTCTTACTTTCTTCCCAATATTCAAGAACATGTTCAAGAAATGGTCCATACGGATGAAGCCCTTTGCAAAAGTACTCCACAACTTCTTCTAAAGGAGAGAGATCTTCTAAACGCTTACAATTATAGTTGTAAAAATGCCACATAGAAATTAAGGTATCTTTAGGATTTCTTGTTATGTATATAATCTTGCAATTATCCAAATTTTTGATTGAATCTGGCAAAACCCTATAAGGTACATGTTTGTGAAATAATCTTGGAGAGGGCATTGTGTATAGATCATGAGTTGGAGTTTTTAAATAATAATCCATGGCCTCTATTGTTGGAACATGAAAATGAGGATTATCCTTAACTAAAAAGGTCTTTCTTCTTCCTCTTTATTACCTTGCATGATGGATACACATATGGCCTTGAGCCATGTTGAACCTGTAAGACAAATATCGGACGACATTAGAATGAATATATATATATAGGTTTTTTATAAGTTAATATCTTGTTTCGACGTGTAAAAAGTTACAATTTGGACTTGACGAAAATATACGATTGATGAAAGGTAGACCTAAGAACTATATACAAGTATAAGGCATTCTAATTTTTAAATGTATACACGCAACAAAAAAATTGTAAGGAAAGACCACATTCTAAGAGCATGTAGGTTAGATTTTGATGATTAAGAAAATTGTAAGGAAAATAAGTTCCATAATGGGAATCCCACGTCAATTGTCTCCTCCCTACACTCCAATATCCACACCCCCCCCCCCACAAACACACACTTCCTCCCCAACCACCATCTCCACCACCTCTATCCCTCAACACATATAAACGATGTTGTAACAATATTTAACATTAGAAAAAATTAAGAACACATTTTCCTTCGTACCAATTACACGACCTTAAATATGGAACATAAATATTTTTCCACAAGAACATAAAATACTTGATGAGTTCATTAATCAAACTCAAACCAATTGATTAATAAAAACCTGTTTTGATGGAAGATGCCAAGAGAACATCATTAGGTTCTGCTTTGAAGGATGCCTTGAAGACCATGGCTGCCTTTATAATGGTAGGATTTGACCAAAAACCTTCCCACTGATAAAGTTGAAAGTTATTCCAAAAATGATCAGTTTTGGGCAGTTGCTCTATAATTCTCTCTATTTCTTCATTACTCACAATTGATGATGATTTTTTCTCACTCATTTTAGGAATGGAATTGATAAAAAATAGTGGTACTTCATATAGTTTAATTGGCCAAACGATATGTGCGTCTATATATAGGGGAAGGAGGAGTGTAAAAAATATTTACATTACTTAACGTAATTGTTAATGTGATGCAATAAGAGATCTATGACATCTTGCATTTAGTGATTCTAGCATACTCTATAATTTATAGGATAACCAAAAAATATCATATAGTATAAATTTCTTCTTGGACTTTGTAAAGAAAGATTTGAAGAAAAAAATTCCATCACGAGTTAATTTATGATTTAATTAGCAATGAAAAATCGATTGAATGTAAAGTCATCCTAATTGATGTCCATTTCTAGCTCTATTATTATTTTTTTTCAAAATCCACCAAATGTGGGGATTAGGCATTGCCCAATCTATGTATTAATAATGAAATTTTGCAGTTGGATCATAATATTATACATCCTGAATTTTAACACTAGTAAAATGAAGTAAGAGCAATAAATTGTTTCCATTTCAAAACTCGTAGACTTGGCATTTACAGCTGATTTTCCAGAGCAGGTTACAAGGATGAATACCATACACTAAGAAGAATTAACAGTAAAGAGGCTACAGATACCGTCTGTTTACAGCATCAACGACACCAGATCAGAGACTAAGCCATCCGATTCATTCCAAGCCTGTTCAAATTACATTTTAAATGTCATCCCCTCCCTACATTCGTAATACCTTGCTCCGAAAAGCCTCTTATCTCCGTTGATCTGTGCTCTGCTGCTTCATAACTTCATTTACCACGCCTAGTAGCCCTACTGAACATGTCTTTGATATTAAGGGAGTTGGTCTCCGCTTTTATCTTTTTAGTTGGTCGTTTGCTCTTAGTAGCCTTTTCCTGACCTTCACTGTTTCCCTGCTGATTTGGAAAGATAAGAAAAGGAGTGATGTGCATCGCAAATGAAAAACTGGAAGTAAATAAATTAAGCAGAATCATGGCTATCTACTGTGATTTGCTTTGTGCTTTTTCTACTGCTATGTCAGCATGCTAATAGAGTGTGTATATATATTATCATTGCCACAACAATATACTATTTCTCTATTAAAGTGTGCATCAACCATACATACAGATATCTTTTAAAGCCCGACTTACTGGCAAATTTATCCTTCATCTACCCAAATGGAAAAGAATCCTGAACATCAAATAATAGTTCTGATGCACATGTAGGCTTCGCCCAAACATAAATTGCAACAATTATTACAGTAGGCTAGGCCTGGGAGAGAAACATATTGTAAACAAAAGATTCAATTTCGATTTTTCTCATGATACATCAAGACATGGTGATAATATTCTTGCACAGTTTATTATCCTTGTTTCTGGTGCCGTAGAAAATACATACTAATCACCAAGTCATGGGATTGGAACCAGTTTAATAGTGGTTGTCTTACCTGTTCGTGATTGAAGGACTCAAAACTATTATCCATTGGTGATGAATGCATTTCAGAATTTGACGCTTTTGTGTCCTCTTGCAAGTCTATGCTGTGATCATAATGATAACAATAAAATGGTTAATAAATTAGAGGAAACTTAATGTTACCATCTTCAAAAAAATTAGAGAACTTGTAAAGAGAAGACATACAACATAACCACCACTGATATAAAATGTACTGTCAGTTAGCATCAAGAGGAATACTTTAACTAGGAACATGGGTCCCCTAAACAAGACCAGTCCGTCCCCTTATCAAAGCCAGAAAGTCCATCCATGCCTTGTAACTCATACAACAGCATATTTGCAGGCTAGCCATAAAGCAGGTGCTTAAACATGGTAATACAGAATTTTACAATTGATTTTTAGTGTCGGAATAACACATCCATCCAGATATCATCTTTATATATTGGTAATTCATCTTCCAATTTGTCACAGGAAAACTTATGGTAATTCTGAAAATAAGCTGGTGGCTTACTCATTAGATAGTTCAATGGATTATTTCAGAAGCTAAATGTGAACTAACATTATTCATAACACAGAGTGTGTAAATAAGAGAATAGGTCCTGAAAGTTGTTTGTCTGCATCGACTCATGTTGCATTTTTACCTTTTAAGATATTGTGTAAAAGCATAACCTCTATCTAACGATACCTAGACAAATAACTTCAAAAACAATCAGAAAAAACTCGGCCATTTATCAGTTAAAGGAAATACCTTAATTTGCTGCAGAGGAGCTTCAACCAAGGCTCTTCCTTCAAGTACTCTCCAATTATAGATACTGCATCAGTTACTGTTTACTTCAAAAGGCATTAATTAGTATAATCTTTTAGCTTTCATATGGACATGACAGCAAACCACATATTTAAGATGATAAGCGCACTAAATTGGCCAAACAAACTTATTTCCTGGTTCTTTAAAAACCAAGGATACATTAAAGATACTTGAAGAGTTTCTCAAACAAAGAACGATGCGAAAAATGTCTTCGAACGACCACAATTGGCTATGAGAATCATAACCTTTTAAGTGTAAAAAAATTAACGAACTCATTATTCAAAAGGAGACGTACATATTTCTTTCTTATCTCGAGCAGCATAGTTCTTATCCAGTGTCAACAATGTCTTCTTTAATTGTATTACCTACAAATGTCTTAAAAGTTAAAATAGAGACATGGAACATAATGAAAATTGTGTCTGAGAGACTAATCCATCTGTAAGATGGATAGACCATTGTAGACAAAGAAGACTTCACAAGATATAAACAAGACGCTACCAAAATATAAAGAACACCTCAAAATAGAAGAAATTATTAGTTCCTTTTATGTAAGACTCTGGTTGGTTTCCTTCGGCCTTTGAAAATATATGACTTATCTAGTTATTTTACACCCAAGTTGCATCATTTCCATTTGAAAAAGTCCAAGTCCGAGCTAGATGATAACACATGCACTGTGGCGCTAAGCTGTTTCTCTTAGTTATTATAAGTTGTTACTCAAACCTAGTGACAGGGCAGGCAAGTTATACCATAGCAAATAATCAAGTACACTTACACGACAGTGGATCAGAGTGGCAGCCAGATCATGTGGAAGAAAATTTCTTATATAACTATGTGGACTATGCCATACTTATCATTGGACCATCTTCAGAACTCAATGTAGACATAACTAACGCGAGATCCATCTACAAGCTAAACTATTACAGGCCATTAACTGGAACAAGTTATAAGTGGATTTTCATACTTTTTACAGATTGGGAAGATCAGATACTGGAGAGTCAATCACAAGAACTCTAGAACTTCTAATTTCCAAAAAGTTATGATTTTTACTCTGAATGCTAGAACATGATCATCACAGCACATTGTTTCAGAGCAAAAAAAACCACCCAATATATGGGCTTGTAAGGGATGAAGTCTTACCTTCAAGCATAACCACTTTAACACCTTCTCATCATTAAGCCTGAAAAACTTTGTCATTCCTACATCTGTAGACAAAAAAAAAAAAGGAGAGGGATGGACAACAATATTAAGCATTAATTAACTTGAATTAGACATTCACCACCAACCCAAAAGTAAATGTTATAGTTTCAAATGTTTTATGAATTACATCATGTTAGACTTCAATACCATTTTCATATGTTTTTCTCTACACTTTATTTGCCAAACTTTAAGTCAGATTCATGGATAATATATCTATTGAATACTCCATAAAATATGAGATGTCATGCCATCTAGCATAATAAGACCAAAAACAAAAAACTGGAGATAGGACAATAGAATATTATCACCTTTGACATCACAAACCACTTGCATGCAGTTCTCAGCAATAGAAGAAAGATGCTGATATCCAGGATAGCCTACAACATAAATTATTTCATCCACTTGCCTAAACTTTCCTGGATCATCATTTTTCTGCATTTATCACAATAAACAAAAGAGCAATTAGAAACCAGCTTGTCAAGTGGCAGAAGTTGTCTCTTGCAAATGGTGCATTCAGCAAAGGAAACCCAACCAGCCAAAAGAGAAAGAAGATAATCTGAATCTTATGTAGTCATTCAGAAGAAAGGGAGTAATAGAGTCACCTATATTGTAGACAGTTCTTACAGTCAAATGAAAGTAGTTTACAAGCAGTTCCTTTTCTTAATAAATAATATATAAAGCAACAATACGTGTAAAATACACACTTTCAAGTATTACACTTCTCTACTATAAACTTTTTGCTAGCAGTTTGTTTATATAAGAAACTTAAGAGAGATAAATCACTCAGAAGTTAGAAATTAATACCTTCATTCTTGCTTCTTCGAAAATAGGTAGCAGAACAAAAACTGGATCGACTGGAGTTGCAGTATACAAACGACCATCTGTTTTGAGAAATAAATGAGTACAGAAAAACTACCAAGAAAGCACTAACAATTCCTCTAGAAATCAAGACTAATAGCATTGACAGATTTGAAGAGTAGAAGATATAACCAATAGGCTTCTCTAGAAAGAGTACAAGAGGTAAAATATAAGCATAATGAAAGGCAAATTGAGATGTTGAAGATATATTTAATTAAATATAAGTGTGCTCTCTAACCGCTTAAACTTTTAGATGAGATGGTTACACACTTATCATTCGTAAACATATAGCTTTAGTTCCTGTAAACTATTACCTTGAAGAGATTGGTTCATCAAGACAAATTATGAACAACGAGGGCAACTGCAGATTTATCAGCTTTTGAAAAGGTTATTTAGACCAAGCTCAGACGAACATTTACCTTCACATACATAATCCCCAAGGAACCAAGACCCATAAGATTGCTTGAACCAGTGAAGTTCTTGAAGAGATCCATCAACACAAAGGTAACATGTTGCATTTCCTGTCACAAAAGCAAATTTTTTTAAAAATTATATCAATGCTACTGGACTATTAATACAATCATAGTGGCAAACCAGTTCCCACAAGATAGTATGGCAATCAGCAAGAGGTTAGGATGTTGTTAACAAAAAATGACCTATAGCAATTTCGATACATCCACAAAAACAATATCTCAAGCCACTGCCATGAAAGCATTATAACCATAGGAAAAACAACAAACAAATACACATATTTGAAGACATCTAAAACAAGCAGCTGCATGAAAAGTGCAGGGATTTACCAGATTTGGGATGTCGGAGAGATAAAAGCTGCTCTACCTTGTCCCCATCCTTAGAAGGCTCTGCAATGTCAAAGTGAGAATCTTGATATTGCATTCAGGTGAGTATAGAAGATTCTAGAGCTGTATCTAAGAGATTGACATATCATTGTTCCCATGTACCAGCAACACAGCAAGAGAGATGTCAAGATGATTTTTTTTCTTTCTTTTTTCGAAAAGAGTTATTTATTTCCATAATCAAGATTCGACTATATGATAAGTGTATCAGTTTAACGACATATCTGGAAGAACCAACAAGTCCTGAAATCTTCAATATCCGTCTCCATCCTTGGAGATGAAGCTTACATGTAGCTACTGATCCTTAAGCAACAGTAACATACATGCTCAAGACACACTCCTTTAGATTCCAATTGGTTGAAGATATTCAAAGAATTGAAATATCGCACACATAATGAACTCAATTTGCCCACCAAATTACAGGCAAAGCCGATTTCCTATGGTGTGTAATTATTCAATCAAGATACAAGAATCAAGAACTATTGTATCCAATTGAAAGTTTCTTCCTTTTTTGCTAACGAAACATAATGAAGGTGTAATTAACATAGTACTATGTCTTTAATCTCAAAATAAAAACAGCAGCAAGAAAAAAGACACAAACTCAAGCCAAGAGATAAAAATGAACACTCACAAACAAAAAAAGAACCATAATACCCAATCGAAAGTTTCTTCCTTTTCTGCTAACAAAACCTAATGAAGGTGTAATCAACTTAACTAGAGGACACACAAAAAAAGAAATGTGTATTAAAGGAAGTACCTTTTGCAATAAGAACACGAGCTTCATCTAGACCTTCCCACCAAGCCATGGAAACCTTTCTGACACAAGAAAAACCTCTAGGAGGAGAACTATTCTGATAATCAAATAAAATTATATAGTGAGATTAGTAAAGACACAAAGCATTAGAAATTACAAGAAGAGATAAATGGGTGTAGGGTTTTTGAAAGAAAGAATGGAACTTTACCACTGGATGGAAGAAGAAAGGAACAATTTTGCAGTATAGCGTTGAAGAAGAAGAAGAAGAGATTTTGCAGAAATTTAGAATTGGCGCCGAAAGCAGTGGTGGCAATATCAAGTCCATTCCTCACCCTAGTAAAGGGTACCATTCTAATAAAAAGTGTTTTTAAAAAAAAAAAAAAAAAAATTCGACATGTTAGAACGTGTTTTCATGAGTTCAGTTATTAGTAATACAGAAAAATAATTGTGTACATTACTTATCAATTAAAAATATTACCGATATTAGTTTTAATACATTAATAATTTCTTCATAATCAACAACCAAAGGATCCCTAGTGTTTAGAGTTGGATTTCAGGCGCGAAAGACTTCCTGATTCTCTAGTTGAATTATTACTTTTATTTGACGATACAAATAAGATACAAGACGTGGGGATTGCTAGAAAACCAAATAATCTTTCCATGCCTAAGTTTGCTATGCTATTTGGTACTATACAATTCTTTTATTGGTTTTGGATCTTCTTTCTACAAGAGATAATGAGAAGAATTCACAATTTAACCTCGACATTGAATTTGATCTTATTATACAATAATCCCGTACAATTTAACCTCGACATTGAATTTGCTCTCATGATATAATAACCCCGTACAATTTAACTTCGACAATGAATTTGATCTCATGATACAATGATTCCATATGAAACGATATGAACCTTTGATCTAACTCAACCACAAAAATGAATAATATAAAATGAGGGTCAGACATCAAATGGTTGAATCTGCCTCTAACTCAAGGTTATTCATGTCCATGTTACTGCATCTCAACAAAATAAAACTTTACAGAAACACACAATTAGGCATTAGCATTGACCACAAATATACAAGTCACTAGGTGGTGTGGTTCCAATTCCACTGTCAGTGTCTAAAGGATTTTTTTTTCAACAAGAAGAAGGAACACATAAACAAGTCCTTGGACATTAAATTTGCACAGCTCTTTCAATGGATAGAAGATTATGTTGGCTTCATTCTTCACTTTTTGGGTCGCTTGTCGCGGGAAATCCCCTCTCCTTTAGAAATTTAAGACATATACACCTTAGTAAGCTCGTTCTGGCGGAATCTGGAGCAACTCACGTATCCCTTCACAAACCTGCATTCGAGTTTTTTTCATTAAATATTCATCAGTTAGTGTAATTTAGTCAGGAGCATAAAAGAAAGGTCCGGTTTACATCTCTCACGACTTCATATTATCTGAACAATTGAAACACATACCATCTTGATCTGGGCCTTAATTGATGCAATTAGACGTGTATATTCCTCTATTTGCCTGCACATTTAATTGCAAAGATCTACATTTAGTTTAAGGCAAGAAACATGACTCAGAAGAATATCGTTTGAACTGTTGAACAGAGTGTTTCCACTCAAAACATGGAAAAATGAAGTCACAAAACATGCGGAGAAGGTTTTTCCTCTTTCTTGAGTGTGAAAGGTTCAAAAACGCACCCATCCTTCACTTCCCTCCACTCCAGAAAAAAAAACAAGAGCTGAACTAGTTGGTTCCAATACCAAGAAACTTAAAGTGAAAAAAGAGAATACGGAGGAGCAAAATAAGCACAAACATCTAAGCTGATTAGACATTGATATTCACATGCTCATATTCGACCTTCCTATCTTTTAATCAATAGCACAGTCTGATTAAAGTTTATCCAAACTGGAAAACAAAAACATGCTTGAGCAGAATAATTTGGAGTTGTTAGTTGAGTTATGCTGTCATTGGATAATAATTAAGGTGGTAGACCAGTACTATACAAATCTCTATTAGAGTTGCCAATTTTTGCTTAAACAAGGTTTTTAGCTTTTCCTTCACAACTTCACAGCTTGAGTTTTTTGAAAACTTTTAAGACTCTGCATTGGTGCATATTCTTCCACCTAGCCAAACTCAGTCCATTGCATGGAAAATGGCGTGATGGCTATTAAAATAGGCTACTAACTACATATACCTTAGACACTGGAAAATTGCACTCGAACTTTTTCATCTCCCTTTATTAAGTGCCTGACTTACCAGTAATTAGATTTATGAAACACATCCTATCTCTTCTGATTAGCAAGAAAGAGATCCCAACTCTACATCCTATTGAATGCTCCTTGAGGTGTTTGATCTACTTTTAAGATGGCCAATTTACTGAATGTTATATTTACCTTCGCACTTATTTTCCAAATCTTAAGAACAGAAGATGGATTTATCATGTGACCAACTTATCCTTTACACAATGTTAAGATTTTGAAAGGGACTTTACTTGAATTTAAGTCCTCAAATGGAAATAAGACACTACTGATAGAAGCAGAGATTAGTAATACCTAGCTAGTTTCTCCTCCCTTGCTGATATATAATTTAGAGCTTCCGACCAAGTGAACTCCACATGAAATCCAAGTCCAACATCAACAAATATGCGTGTTGTATCTGGGCTGTCAGATCAACTCAGGAAGAAATATCAATATGCAGTGGATGAAAATACTGAGGTATTAGAAATCATCAAGATACAGATTTTCAATTGTAAATGAAATAAAAAAGAAGCAAAAAGTATCAATACATGTTCAAATAAAGTAGACATCACTTAACTTATATATATTCAATAATTTTCTACAAACATTTAAATAAAGATAAGAAAGACTTACACATCAGCTTGCAGGTATACTTCAGAGCCAATATTAACCAATGTCTTCAGATTAGTTACATTGTTCTTCTCCAAATTCTCTATATTACTCCTTAAATCAGAGCTAAAAAATGATACAGTTAAGAAAAACTATGTAGACCTCACTCCAACGTCAATTTTCATATAAGTAAGTAATTAAACAATTCATCCACTCACATACCTGCAAGTGCGAACTACTACTAAAAGTCCGAAAGACTGAAAAAATGATCCAACTATATGTTGGTAATGTAACAATATAATAACATGAAAAGGATACAAAATCTTTTGTTGTTCAAAGACCTTGTCCCTGCAGTCATAAAGTGGAAGGAAACAAGATGAAACAAAGTTAGGCCACCATAAGATTTTGTGCAGAAAATCTTATTACATCTTTTCTCATACACAGGTAACTTTACCAATGTTGGGTGTAAATCATTCCATTACTTCCTATGCAATAGTTTGGACGTCCCCGTTCTTCACATATATAAATGTTAAAATTTACGTGTATGACATTGCAGATTTAAGCCCCAATATGATGACCAAAAAATAACCAGGACATGAATACACTTAGTTGTTTTTTAGTCCACTACACAATTGGACCATTAATACAACAACATGGCAAATAAGTTTCGAAAGAACATTCTTAAAACCACAAAAACGAGAATGTTCTTGAAAAGACCTTTTATCTATAGGTCATCAAAGATCCATTCCCATTAATAAGACAAGTGTTTAGCTGAAAAATATCTTTCTCATTCAAGGAAAGGGGTTGAACAGTAAATGAGAAAAGAAGTTCTAAAAACAAATAAATATATATGTAATAGAAAACGAATTCAGGAAAACTGAAGTGAACGATATATTTGCTACTACCGTTCAGCAATTGCGTGAACAAGATCTGGTTTCAGACGGCGATCAATAAACTCCTCAAATCTCCTTACTTTCTCTTGTTTAATAGTGTTCATCGCAATCCTATTACAAGATAAAATCATGTTAGAAAAAACTTAACCATCATATCAAAGATAAGACTACAAGAAACTAAGACATGAGATGACTCCAGCATTCGGAGACAGTGAAGAGTCCCTGTTAGAACCCTAATTTCCACATAGATTAGAGTTTAAAGTGCCATGTCGTACGATCATAGATTTTACGCCATTTGGCATTCTTATCATGGCCTGCTTTCACTAAGAGAGAACCTTTTCCAATTGAGGATCTATCTATACAAGTTTTTTTTTTTCCGCAGGTGTTAATGCTATAATCGTCCTAAAATCTGCATAAAGAAAATGACACGCCTTGCACAACATCAAAAAATTGGTGATATAATAATTTATTGCATCATTTTCTACAAGTAAAGAAAGGAAATAAAAAAATTACCCCTTAACTTAAATAAAACGACAACAAACGTAAAGAATGTACTTCAACACTTCATTGATTGGGAAATTATTTCAACTTTACATACTACATATAGATGGATTTGATCAAGGCAAAACTTGTGAAAAGACACTATCTCGAGAATGTAGCTTCAGATGTCATGATTATTGGTTTCTAGTAACATGTCGATTAGATTCTCTTCTTCTCTTTCTTTTACCTAGTTGGTTTGGCTAAAAGCCCTACCGCACTCCACGCAATGAACCACCAAGATTACTTAACTTCTTTTTCTACTAAGTTTTTTCAAAAAAAAAAAAAATGGTATAATGCAATAGATTATGAGAGGTATTGCCTAATATGAAAGGGGGGAAATGGTTAGTATTTACGAGTACGGACATACATGGGTGTTAATGATTAACTAATCTTCAGTTGTGTATTCATCGTCTCTATTTGTTAATTTTCTTTGTAATGCTACATAGGGTATTACTTTGGTAAATCAGATATGGATAATTTATACTATCACACCATCTCCTCACCACACCATATTTGCAATCCCCAAGCCTTGAGAAACTTTCAAAGTAGTCGTACCTCCATTATATAAAGTATCTATCTTTCTGCTAGTACTTCACCAAAAGAGGGAAAATTTTTACTCAGCACCAATAGTTGTGCTGCCTCAATAGCAATGTAATGAGAAGAAGAATAAGCCATTGTTACCTTGTCCAAAATTGAAGCTTCCCAGCAAAATTTGAGCTTTCTGCGATTGTCACCTTTCCACAGAGTAATTCGTTTCAAATTTTTGCTTCTCATGAAAATTGAAATAAGGGAAGAGGAGCCCTAGGATGTTGCAATTTGGTGTAGTGAAAAGTCTAAAATACCCTTAGACAAACATAAATTTTCCTTTTGAACAATTTGTATATAAATAGGGTTTAGGGTTTAAGAGTAGTATCACTCTCTCCTGCTACTTTTGTCACAAACCAGGTAGAATCAATCAATCAAATGCTTGTCTGAATATTTTTTCCATGTGGGTTTCGTCAATAAGGTTAGCTTCTTACAGAAAAATCCTCAAGAACACTCAATTTATTCGTTTGAAATCAGTTTCTTCAGTAGCTCAATTAACTTCATATTTGTCAGATTCTAGTTCTGATGAACAAATTGGAAATACCCACATGAAAAATAATGAGTTAACTAACAATACTGTTGAGGTGAACTCGTATTGGGTCACTGAAATGCTTAATAGTTTAAGGGAAGAGCCTAATGATGCTTTATCATTTTTTCGTCAGTTGAAAGAAAGTGGGTTTAAACATGATATTCAGACTTATATGGCTATGATTAGGACATTTTGTTATTGGGGTATGGATATGAAGTTGGATTCTTTGTTTTTAGAGGTTATAAATTTGGGAAAGAGGGGGTTGGGTTTTGAAGTTTCTGACTTGTTTGAGGAATTGGTGGAGGGGTTGAATGCTGAGGGCCCCAATTCGTTGGTTCGGGCTTTAGATGGATTGGTTAAGGCTTATGCTAGTTTAAGGATGTTTGATGAAGCTATTGATGTTTTGTTCCAGACAAAAAGGTGTGGTTTTGGACTGAGTGTGTTGTCGTGTAATTATCTCATGAATAGGCTTGTTGAGTGTGGGAAAGTAGATATGGCTGTGGCGGTTTATAAACAGTTGAAGAGGATTTCGGTGAGTCCAAATGTGTATACTTATGGAATTGTGATCAAGGCATTATGTAGAAAAGGCAATTTTGAAGAAGCAGTTGGTGTATTTGAGGAGATGGAGAAAGCCGGTGAAACTCCTAATGAGTTTACCTATTCTACTTACATTGAAGGGCTTTGTTTGTATGGTAGATCAGACTTGGGCTATGATGTATTGCGGGCGTGGAAAGGGGTAAATTTACCCCTTGATGTCTATGCCTACACTGCTGTAATTCGTGGGTTTGTTAATGAGAAGAAGCTGCAAGAGGCAGAAATGGTGCTGCTTGACATGGAGGAGCAAGGAATGGTCCCTGATGCCGTTTCTTATGGGGCTGTAATTAATGGATACTGCACTACAGGGAACATTTCTAAAGCTCTGGCTTTCCATGACAAGATGGAAACAAGGGGTATCAAAAGTAATTGCGTGATTGTTAGCTTAATTCTTCAGTGCTTGTGCAAAAATGGCAAGGCACGCGATGCCGTTGATCAGTTCAGTAGTTTTAAGAAGAAAGGCATTTTTCTTGATGAGGTGGCTTATAATGGTGTAATTGATGCTTTGTGCAAACTCGGTAGGTTTGAAGAGGCTGAGAAGTTGCTTGATGAGATGAAGGATAAGAGGATGACACCTGACATCGTGCATTACACTACTTTAATAAATGGCTATTGCCTCCATGGACAAATTTTAGATGCGATGGGTTTATTTGATGAAATGAAAGAAAAAGGATTGAAACCTGACATTATTACTTATAATGTGCTTGCTGGTGGATTTTCTAGAAATGGCCTCGTTAAAGAGGCAATTCACCTTTTGGACCATATGAAGGGACAAAAGTTGATGCCAACAACTGTCACACATAATGTGATTATTGAGGGCTTATGCATTGGAGGTTATGGGAAAGAGGCTGAAATATTTTTCAATAGTTTGGAAAATAAATCTGCAGAAAATTATGCTGCCATGGTGAATGGGTATTGTGAATTAGGCAACACCAAAGATGCTTTTGAGCTTTTTGTTAGACTGTCAAAACAAGGTGTTTTAATTAAAAGGAAATCTCGTTTGAAGCTTCTAAGTAGCCTATGTCTTGAAGGCGAATATGGAAAAGCGTTAAAGCTGTTTGAGATAGTGTTGTCATTAGGTGATGGCATTTGCAAAATAATGTGCAGCAAACTAATAGCTTCCTTATGTAGTGCTGGAGATATGAAAAGGGCCAGGTGGGTGTTCGATAATCTGGTTTGGAGAGGATTAACACCTGACGTGGTCATTTATACTATGATGTTAAATGGTTATTGCAGGGTGAATCGCTTGCAGGAAGCCATTTATCTTTTTGATGATATGAAGAAAAGGGGCATTTCTCCTGATGTTATCACTTATACAGTTATGCTTGATGGCCATTCTAAGAATTTAAAGAGAGATCGATTGTCATCAGATACAAGCAGGAATGACAGAGTAAGAAGGGATACAGGGTCAGTTTTTTGGAGTGAAATGAATGGGATGGAATTAACTGCTGATGTCATTTGTTACACTGTTTTGATTGATAGTCATTGTAAATCAGACAACATTGATGATGCTATTCACCTTTTCACTGAAATGATTGATAGAGGTTTAGAACCTGATAGTGTGACGTACACAGCTCTAATATGTGGCTATTGTAAGCAAGGACATGTTGAGATGGCTAAAGAACTTGTGAATGATATGTGGAGAAAGGGAATACAACCAGATAGCCATACCATCGCAGCACTACATCATGGAATCATAAAAGCCAAAAAGTTGCACCTTAGGCATAACAATAACTCAGCCCAAAATCGGAGGTATGTCCAACACGTTACATTTAGTAGAGTCGTTGTTAGTTGGTTGGTAGGCATATATGGTTTCCTTTGTTCATTTCCTGCAATATCTTCTTTACTCTTTTTGTTTTTTGTTTTGTGTTTTTTTTGGGTATCATGCAACAGTTTAAATCCAGCAGTATGAAGCCTGGTTTTGGGCCTAACGTGGCTTGACAATTATCTGTTTTGATCTTAAGACTGCAGGTTATCTAGTGTAATTTTGACGAGGCACAAATTGTTGCATGGTAGGGGGCCCTTGTGCTAAAGTGGTTGTGTTTCTTCATTTTCTTGTTGAACAATCACCAAATCATTATTTTGTGCAGGAGATGATAAATATTCATTTGAATGTGAAGAGCACATACTTTGGTAATACTGGAAAGAGAAGAGTTGGTGCTCCTGATGTAACTAGCAAGTAGTGCGGTCATCATGAGGCCTGAAAATCAGGTATGAGAATTCAACATACATCTTTGCAGATGAATTCAGATGGCCACATGGCTCTGTCTCATCTATGTTTAGTGCTCTTCCGAATGTAAGTTTTTTTTTTTTTTTTGCCATTTTGATGTTCAAAATAGAGATTAAAGACTGCACTTCTGTGATCATTCATATTGCCTGCCTCCTCTGCTACTGTCTTCGAACATCTTTGATCTTGAATTTCCTCTTTCCTAATGCAGAAACGAGAAAGAAATTTGATAGGTATAAGGCTTGTCAATACGTTCAAGATTAAGTTAATAGGTTCGACGAGGAGATAAAGAAGGGTTCAACTTGGATAAAACATGAACCTTATTATATTAACTCAGTCCTATAGTGTAAAGAGCTTATGGCGTTGTGAATGCTAAATATAGAACTGAGATAACAGTAGATTCTATAAAGTAAGGGAAATATTCTTGAAAAGTCAAACCTTTAAAAGAACATATATAAATTTCTAAGTAATCACACATCTCACATCTTATGACTGATATTTTACTTGAAACACGGTCTGCCTCTTGTTCCCAGCATGTTTTGAGGTTGTAAGTTTTGTTTTCTAATAGGGAAGATGTCCTTTGAGCTGGCTTGGATTTTTTGCTGGGATGGTGGTAGAAAATGAAATCATCAGATTTAACAGTTACTTTATTACTTAAGTTCTATGTTGCTCAGACTCTTCAATTTTCTTGCTGCCAACATGGGTGTGGGCTCCACACACGGATTTGGTCAACCTAGCTTGGGTACTTTGACTACACATATGCCTAGAAGTATATTTCAGATTGGGTATTTGGTTAGATTTTGGGTTTATGTCATACACATATTCAGAGAAAGTATTACAAGACTTTGCTAAATACGAGATAACTTATGAATTAAAAAGTATCATAAACATTCACATAAGAATGTAGTTCTTGCATATAGTATGACATTTGAATTGAGCAACATCGAGATCATCTCAGAGCAACTCAGCCACTATGTTTGGGTCTAGAAATGTGAACTGTTGGTTGTACCAAAATATTTGTCACCTGTGAATTTAGATTCATCTTCCGCGCTGTGCTTTGGTAGTAAAAACTGTTGCTCAAAACTGTACGTTCCATATTCGTTCTTCTAAATGGCTTTAGTAATATGAAATTTTTTAGCTTACTCTTCTGTTGGAGTTCCTTTCTGATTGTATTATTTGTTTGGATTCTTCCGAATGAATGCAGACGTTTGATACTGTTGATGGAAAGCAAGAAAGACAGACGTTCCTCTATTCCACTTGATCATGGTGATTGTTCCCCTCCTTAATCATTTATATATTCATAGATTATTCTCTCTGTAAGCTTTGTTATGCTAACTGCTATGATTCAAATTAGATGTCTTGGCTTTCACAATTTGCTGGATCTGATGGGCTTGCATTAGCAGTATGTCTGTTTTCTAGTAATCCTTTTTCCTGCCCTGGGAAGATTTGTGACTTACAAATTTTGTGTTTTATGTGAACAGTTTGAAGCCTTGGCTTTTGGGAGCCACTGATATGTGTGGATGAGATACCTTCTGGTTCTGGGTTACATCAACTGTTCCTTTCTACTATGTTACCTGGGAACAGTATGCAACTCTTCAGTATATTTATTCAGTAGGCAATGGAACATATAATTCCAAGAATCCTCAAAGCAGAAATGGATTCTTGTTTTATCTAACGAAGAGTCCAGAGAAGTCTTTGCTTTTAACTAACATCGGGAGACAAGATTAGGCGCTGGGCAGCGCAGTATCTATTCCAGATACAGAGGCATCAGGGGGTGCCCAGCCACCCAACCCAGCAGAGGCCCAAGTTTTGGAGTTCCAGAGCACGAGGGAATGAACTCTCTCATTCCCAGACACCTCGTCTATGTATTGTGTCTCCCCCAATTGCTACGAAGATAGGTGCACCGTGATACGATAAGGACCCCAAATGAAAAGCCAGGTGTTGAGCCTCGGAACCGACCCAAGCAGAGATGCAGAGTAAGTCTTTGATTTAAACCAACACCAGAAGTCTACTGTTGGCACACAATGTTATATTGTATACTACTATTATAATTTTGTTATAGATGTTGCATTTTTATTTATTATTTTTAGTAAGGGTAGTTGGTGGATTTATCTTTTTTCTTGTATCAATATTTATGATTTGTTTTTTCTCCATCTTTTGCAGGGCATTGATGCATGGAACGTTTACATCTGCTGATCTTTCATGAATGCATTATGGAAGATTGAATAGTTGGATGAATGACGCAGCAAATTCTTACAGTTTAATTATGTAATTTTACCATATTTTTATTAGTCTAAAAATAGGACATTTTTGATGTATTCTACCCATTTTTGTGAATTGGAAGTATAGAGTATGCTAAAATGAGTTGCAGAATATCATAAGTGATATCACCAGTCATTCAACTAATACATCATATATAAGTTTCTTGGTCTTCCCAACGGCATCAGCTGATAAAATTCCTCAAATCTGTAAAGGAAATAAGTAAATTAGTTACATATAAAAAAATAAATCATTCAAGAAAATCTTAATTTCATGGAGCAATTGATATTATTTCAAGACAAGGTGGGAGTGACCTCCATGATGTACAAAATAAGATAAGCGAGATTGAGATGATTCAGAGAGCTGATTAGGCAACATATGACACATTTAAAGCTTATCGAGGACATCACCCTAGAGAACATAGAACCCGAGGTAGATTTTTTTTGCTCAATATTATCTTTATTACCCTTCTCTATTATCTTACTTACATGACTTCTTCATTAATGTATTTCATTCAAACCTGCTTCCAAATGCTTTACAAATTGATTTGTTATTACATGACTTCTTCTCAAAACGGAGGGAGTACTTACTTCACAAGCTAGTTTATAAATAAAACATGTTGAAACTTCAGTTGCATTGGATCAACAACATACCTGATAAGTAATTCGAGACCAAGTGTTGGAGCATTGCTGATCTATTCTGTGGATTATGACCTCAAAATCAGAAAATCCCATGTCTTCAACTTGCATTTCCTTGATGACCATAGCAGAGTCGGCGAGTGATTCTTTGCATGACTCTACCTCAATGGATTTCAGGGAAGGCATGTATCCGAAGCAAGAAGGGATCTCCTCAAGATATCGACATCTTTTCAATACCAAGTGTTCAAGGCATGGAAATGCATCATCTGAGACATCCCATTCTGAAAAAGATAGATTTTCTAGTTTCAAGAATTTGAGTTTGCTGAACTGCTCATCCTTCACTTTCCACGTATTGGAACTAATGGTAACTCCTAGCAGTTTGAGTACCTCGAGATTTGAAAGAGTTGTGACTTCATTGAGGTGAATGCTAAAATTGGACAGTGTCAATTTCTTGAGGTGTGACGGGAGCTTCAGCTGATCGACTGATGTCAATGCAGCACCAGAAGACATCTTGAGAATTCCGAGCATTGTAAGATTGTTAAATGCAGTAAATGAGCCATCAAATGCAGAAACTTCACATGTCAGTCTCCGAAGATTTGGTGTCTTTGCCAATATCTTATCAGCACTTTCCGCACAAGAAAAATATACTGAGGAAAGAGTTTGCAAATCATCCATTTTCGAAGGGATTACTAAGAATTCCTGTTCATTCTGCATAGTGAAAAATGCTTGGTCGTTTATTTGCAGATGCCGCAACTTAACCATCTTCCAAATGGTTTCCGGTAGTGATATTCGTCCTCTAGTTCCTTGAACTATCAAAGTTTCAAGGTTCCAAAGATTGGCTGGGAGGGATAATGTATCATTGTCGGTCCGAAAAGTAACATACCTCAAAAGGATCAATTCTTGTGGGAAAGAATCAATGACAGTGAATTCAAAGTCTAACACCCTCAGAAACTTGAACCTTTTAAGAATGTTTGATGTGCGGTGTATTGAAGAGAATGTAGTTCTTCTGGACTCCCTGAACTGGAAAGATTTCAAATTGGAGAAACACAAACACCATTTTGCAAGATCATCACACTGAGAATGAAGAGATAAGCGACGTGAAGTATTGCATTTTGGAGGGAAGAATTGTGTAGGATCCGAACCTGCATCCCTGTTAACAGAGAGATATGTATGATCAGATGAAGCCTTAAAGATGAATAGATTGAAAGAAAAATATTGAAGGTTTTGATTACCCATTTATCCTTTGTAAAATGTTCTCCAACTTGGCTTTCTTCCTGCAAACTTCATGCACCAGGTCATGAATGTGACATGTCTTGATCCTTCCATCAGAACTCCTTTTATCAATCATCACAAGGTTTCTCCCAACAAGATTCTCCAAGTAATTTTCTGCGATTTCCTCCAAAGTCTTCCCTGTATGAGGTTTTATGAAGCCTTCCGCTATCCACAACCATGTTAACTTTGAGACTTGAATCTCTCCATCCTCTGGGAATACTCCCAAATACAGAAAGCATGGTTTCAAATAGGGTGGTAAATTCTGATAACTCAGATCAAGAGTGCCCTCCATCTGATCCTGAATGTTTGTACCTAAATTTGTTGCCATTTGTTCCCAACAATGTTTTTCCTTCTTCATTCTTGTGAGGATACCAGCTACCAGAATAATTGAAATAGGAAGTCCGCCGCACTTTCTTACAATTTCTTGGCTGACATCTCTTAGGATAAGAGGACCACTTTCATTGTTGAACACCTTTTTGTTTAACAACATCCAACTTTCATCACTGTTGAGAAATCGAAGCTTATGGGGATCACTATCATGTTTAGCATGAGAGGCGACCTCATAATGCCGAGTTGTCAGAATAATTCTGCTTCTGTTGTTATCTTCAGGGAAGCACAACTTTAGATCATCCCATGCCCTAGTTTCCCAGACATCATCAATGAGGAGAAGGTATCTCTTGCGCATTAAAAGTTTGCGAAGCTTATCTGCCAATTCATTTTCAGTCTCTCTTCTAAGTTTAGCTCTTTCATCAGTAATATCATGTAGAATGGCTAGTAATAAGTCCTTCCGCGTATATTCTTGAGAGACACAGCAATGGGCATGGATGTCAAAATAAGAGACAACTGACTTATCAGAATATAGCTTGTTAGCCAGAGTTGTCTTGCCTAATCCAGCCATTCCAACTATTGCGATTACATCAAGGCGTGATGATCCTCCTTTTAGTTTGCCTATCAGTTCATCCTTCACATCCTCAAAGCCTATGATTTCTTCATTGATCCTTCGTGTACTAGCGAATTGTAATGAAGCAACACCAAAGATCCGAACGAATCCCTTGAGAACCAACTGCACAAATGAAGTTAGCTTGTTTGGAGATGACAGTATCTCATTATGAATCTCTGCTACCTCTGCCATGAGCATTCTAATATCCTCTCCAATGTTCAAGATCCAGATAAAAATACACCAGTCAGGAACATCTTTTTTCTTACAAGCATCAACCATATGTTCTACCTCATACACCAAACGAGTAGTCTTTGTTGCAAAATGTTGAAGTCCGTCTTGCTGTTCTACGACAGCTTGAAAGAACTTGAGTTCTTTCTGAATTATCGGAAGTTGGTTCTTAACTGAATCAACTGAATTTGAATACATGCTCAGAAACTTCTCCTTGTTGTCTAAAATGAAATCAGCAGAGCCCACTCTGTCAATTCCAGGTAAGTTGAACTGGAGGAGGAATTTCTTTCTAGCGACGAGGTAGATCACACCTTGCATACTTTGGATTTTTCCCCTGAAATCAAGATTCTCATTATCATCATTTAATGAGAAAACCAGAAGTCCTGCATCAACAATCGCAGAGTCTATTTCTTGAAGATGATATTCAAGGACCTGTGTTGGTAGATTGACTAGAATGGCTCCGAAGAAGTTGAGCGTCTCCTGAAGTTCTGCCTTTATTGCAATGCAATTACTAGAGACTGGTAGTTCTTTTAAAGTGTGTCGAAGAGACTCCAGAAACCCAACTTCACAATCGAATACATACTTAACATTGATAACGGGATACCATTGTGACTGAACCAAATTTAGAGCTTGCAGGATATGAATATAGAACCTGCATATGCTTGGCTGAATAGGCTGGATTTTGCTCTGCAGAAGATCAGAAAGCAAAGGATTCTCTTCGTTCGGAGCTGTGTCTTGATACATGTATTCATTGCTCGGAAGATACAACCACGTAGTCATAGTTGTTTGCCAGGCCACTTGTACAGCATGAGTGAACAAAGCATGTTGGACCCGAGTCTCTATGCATCTATCTGAAACAAAGCAGACAAAACTAGAGAGGAAATTCAACCCCTTCAAAACCATTTCTTTTTGAACCATGCTTCGTCCCCCAATACATAGTGGTGAACTTGGATCATCAAATTTCAGTAAATTACTGATATTATCAGCGACAATATCAATGAATTTCATAACAAAACCGGGAATCACAATACCATCCTCATTGGCTAAAACTTGACATGATATTTTGGGAACGGGGAAATTAGCCTTTATGATTTCCAACTTAGTCTGCTGAAACTCATATTGCAAGTGGCAAAAATAGTCATAAAATTGTTGACTCCACGGACTTACTTGCGTACTGTACATCTGAATGAGTTCATCTCCAGCACCGTGGAACAATGCTCGAACTCTTCCCCAACTGACATGTGGTTCATCTTCGAAGATATGCAATTCGATAATGATACTCAGGAACTTGAAATCCCTTTTAAGGAACCTCAGTCTATCTAACAAAGACATATGTTCTTCTGAAGTTTCAAGGAAATCAGACACTTTTGATCTGAATTCCTCCAAATACATACGGAATGGTCCCCAATACTCTTCAATACGTTGCAGAACGCTAAGGGTATCAAGTTCCTGTGCAAACAGATATTCAACTAAGAATGTATAGAATGAATTGCATTCATCTTCCATCCGCTGCAGAGTTTCAGATAAATGAGATACTATTGGCAGGTACTTGGCTGAAAACAAAAGGTCTTTCTCTTCAATCCTCTGCAGTGTGTCAAGGGGACGAGACTCCTTGGAAAAATGAAATCCCTCTAAAAACATATTGAACGAATGGCTTGCCTGTACAAAACGCTGGAGAGTTGTCAGGATATTATAAGGTTCCTCTGTGAACATATTGTAATTGAATGAATACCATTGGTCTTCAATCCGACTCAGATGGTTGTTGTCCGAGCACATACGGAATGAACCCCATTTCTCTTCAATCCACTGCAGAGTGTCTAGGAAATGATATAACTTTGACTGATGTTCGTCTACATCTTTTTCGATTTTCAGCAGAATTTGGATGAAATGAGCATTGCCTCGACGCAGCAATTGTTTTTCAACATACTTCACTGTGTCAAGGGGATGTGATATGTTCATAGACATGTACAAATCTCTCCTCTTCTTTCTGCAGATTATGCGATAAGAGCAACTGAAAAAAGTAATTAAAGGAAAAC